TACCCTCAAGAAAGGTTCAGAAAGATCACCGCCAGACCATCCAGAAACAATAACCCAGAAATGAGGTGACACTGATCAGGGACGCGCGGGGAAGGCACCACCAAAAGTGCACGACAAAGGATACCCCACGGAAATGGATGATAGCGAGGAGAAGGAGGATGAGGATGATGATGAGGAGGAGGAGGATGAATGGGGATTTGGAACATGTGGGTGGTGAGCGAAAAGGAGGAGAACAAGAACATCAAACATCAGGGTGGGGGTATCTTGGCTGTTTGTTTCGAGGCTTCATGTGTCCGAAGGTTTGGGGCCATCTAGGGGGCCATCTTGGAACCCACTTGGGATCCATGCTAGTGTTTCTGACTGTGGTGGATCAGTTTCAAAGAAATGGGGCCTGTGTCGCCATAACCCCCAGACTGTTCAGGACTTCCCAGGCTGTCACCAACATTTCCAAGGCCAGGTGCTGACTCCTAGGGGTGTGTTGCGACCCCTCCTCCTCCTTCTCCTCCTCCTCCTCCTCCTCCTCCTCTGCCACCTCCTCCTCCCCCTCTGCCTCCTCTTCCTCCTCCTACTCCTCCTCCTCCTCCTCCTCCTCTTCCCCTCCTCCCCCTCCTCCTCCTCCTCCTCCTCCTCCTTCTCCTCCTCTTTCCTCCTCCTCCTCCTCCTCCTCCTCATCCCTCCTCCCTCCTCCTCCTCCTCCTCCTCCCCTCCTCCTCCTCCTCCTCCTCCTCCTCCTCCTCCTCCATGCTCCTCCTCCTGCCCCTCCTCCTCCTCCACCTCCATATCCTCCTCCTCCTCCTCCCTCCTCCCTCCTCTCTCCTCCTAATCGTCATCTTCACCCTCCCCCTCCCCCCCCTCCTCCCTCCCCTCTTCCCCCTCCTCCTCCTCCTCCTTCTCCTCCCTCTTCCCCTCCTCCTCCTCCTCCTTCTCCTCCCTCTTCTCCTCCTCCTCCTCCCTCTCCTCCTCTTCCCCCTCCTCTCCTTCTCATCGTCCTCCTCCCTCCGCCTCTGATTCCCCTCACTGTCCCCCATCAGTCATTACTGCCATCGGACCGTCCCGGAACACTCCTGACTCCTCTGTTCTACACTCCTATATGCACTCCCTCCACCATGCCCTAACCTCCATCCACACCTCCAACCTTCTCCTTGCTAGCCTCGTCCTGAGGAGCGGAGGCAGACGCATCCGGCAGCCCAGGTCGCGTACCACGAGATGGCTGAGGATCCCGATGGAGATGATGTTGGTAGCTTCACACTGACCGTGAAGCACCAAGTGTTCTTTGTGCCCAGCCGCCCTGACGAGGGCGAGGAGCAGAAGCTGACGAATACTATTGTGGCTGCTACGATCCCAATCAGCACGTGGCTGAACAGTGAGCCGGTGTGTTCGATTTCGTGGGTAGTGAAGTGGGGGGTGAATGGCCTGACACCTGTGCGTCCTGTGTGTTCTCTCGTGGGCCCTGTTTCAATTGGGGCTGGCCGCGCCATGAAGTTGGCCTCAGGTGGTGCATAGAGAACCCTGGAGGCAAACGAGTTTTGGCAGGCTGGCTGATGCTTCTTTTTCGGGCAAGTTGAAGGCGCGCCAAAGCCAGATATTCCTTTCCCTTCCCTCAGAACAACAATACTTCCAGGGGCAGAAGTATATGTTTACCCTCAAGGCCATTTCTCTTGTATTTCCCAAGACGCACCTTGCCCAGCGCACGTTGCCCAGCAGCAGCAGCAACATCCAGCCAGTAGCAGCCAGCGCGCAGGTGGAACCCAAGCTGGGGAAGGCTTGATTCTTTTTGTGCAATCTAGCCAATAGGGTTGCCTGCTGCGCTGTCAGGCATGCTGTTCTTCTTATGCGCCAGCTGTCAAAACATCTCACTCGTTGTTCCTCCTGCTCCCAACTTCCCCCCCCCCCCCCTGCGCGGGCAAGCCGGGCGCGCCTTGGGCTCTGTGGTGGTGTCCGTCACCACTGGCCCCCCAGGTGGGCGACTTGCGAATGAGGAAGATGAGGAGGAGAAGGAGGAGGATGGAGGAGGAGGAGGGAGAAGGATGAGGAGGAGGGCGAGGAGGAGGAGGACGGAGGAGGAGGGGGAGGAGAAGGAGGACAACTTCAGAGCACGATGATCGAAAGAGGATGGGGGAGGCAGGACAGGGGGAGGGAAAGGAGGAGGAGGAGGAGAAGGAGGAGGACACCTGACGAGGGGATGCAGCTAATCCCTCTGGATGCTGTCCCTGGCCCTGCGCGAGACTGAGTGTGGGCGAATGTGCCCTCCTCCACTCCCTCCACCTCATCCAGATCCTCCTCCTCCTCCTCCTCTTCCTCCTCCTCCTCCTCCTCCCCCTCCTCCTCCCCCTTCTCCTCATCCTCCTCCTCAGTCCTTGATTCTCCAACTCCTTCAGCTCCTCCACGACTGAGTTCCTCCATGCTCCTCATCTTTCTCCCCCTCCTCCTCCTCCTCCTCTTTTGTCCTCCTCCTCCACCTCGTCCTCCTCCTCCTTCTCATCAGTCCCCCTTTATCCTCCTCCACCTTTTAAATTGTCCTCCTCCTCCTCTTCCTCATCCTTCTCCTCCGTTCTTCTCCTGCTCCTCCTCCTCCCTCTCCTCCCCCCCTCCTCCATCCTCCTTGCCCTCATCCTCCTCCCCCTCTCTTCTTCCTCCTCCTCCTCCTCCAGCTCCTCCTCCTCCTCCTCCTCCTCCTCCTCCTCCAGCTCCTCCTCCTCCTGCTCCTCCTCCTCCACCTCCTCCTCCTCCTCTCTCCTCCTTGCCCTCCTCCACCTTTTCCTCCATGCTGCAGGGCGCCCACCTATCCATTAGGGTTGTGCATGCGGACACCGGTGGTGCTGTTTTTTTTTTCCTCGGGCTCAGCCCAGGGATATATGGCCCAGGGTATTTATCGTCCAGGCTTGGTCTGGGGGGCCCTTGGACGCTCCAAAACCCTGTCCTGAGACCGTGACCTGGTCCAGCCCAAAGGGTAGGCTAGGATGAATAGCAGCAGGGGGACAACCAGGTTGGGGAGGAGGAGGAGGAGGAGGAGGAGGAGGAGGAGGAGCGAAAGAGTCCCGTGGAGGAGGGGATGGAGAAGAAGGAGGAGGAGCAGCAGAATGAGAACAAGTCAGGGAGGCAGATTACTTTGAGTGGCGAGGAAGAGCGGGAGAGAAGGAGAAGCAGCATGAGGAAGGAAGAGGCCGGGAAGGAGGAGGGCGAGGAGGAGGAGGAGGAGGAGGACGAGGAGTGAGAGGAGGAGGAAGAGAAGGATGAGGAAGAGGATGACAATGAGGAAAAGAGGCCTGATACCTCTGCCATCCCAACCTGGTGGTCGCAATAATCTGGGGGCGCCTCGCGTGCGCCCGGCTCCTCGCTCTCGCTCCAGGGCTTTCTTGCTCCTCCTACTGCTCCCCACCTCCTTCTCCCCCTCCTCAAGACTCCCTCTTCTCCAAGACTCCCTCCTCTTCCTCCTCCTCCTCCTCCTTCTCCTCCTCCTCCTTCTCCTCCTCCTGATCCTCCTTTTCCTCCTCTCTTTGATTTGTTTCCATCCTGCCTGGGCATGGTCAGAACACGAGCTAGGCTGCGATTGTTTGTTCATGGAGATAGCACTGCACAGTGTGCTGAATTATCAGAAGGCTTGGCGTTGCGGGGGGCACCTCCCCCCCTTGATCCCCCCTTCCCCCTTCACTGCGCCCTCCTCCTCCACCTGCTCCTCCTTCTCCAGCTTTCTCCTCTTCTTTCTCTTCCCCCCCCACTCCCTCCGTCTGCACTCTGGAAAGAGGAGAAACAGACAATGACGTGGAACGTAAAAGTCAGGATGAGAAGGCCCCGAATCAGATGCCAGGAGGCTCCGAATCAAAGAATGTTGCTTCCGACGCCCTTTTTGGCACACCCCTCGCACGGTTCGTGGCGCCAGAGGGAGCTCCACAGTGGCACAGGCCGCATGCGCCCGACGCCCATTTTGGCACACCCCTCACCCGGTTCGTGGCCCCGTAACGGGCTCCACCGAAGGCCCCAGTGGCACAGGCCGCATGCGCCCGACGCCCATTTTGGCATACCTTTCACACGGTTCGTGGCCCCATGGGGAGCTCCACCAAGGGCCACAGCGGCGAAGGCCGATGCGCAAGACGCCAATTTTTGCACACCCCTCACACGGTTCCTGGCGGCAAAGGGAGAGACCATTTCTTTCTTGCTTGGGGCATGACGGGCGTCATGGCCCCCTTCCCCCCCCCCTATGACGTAACGCTCCCCCCCAGTGCGATCCAGGCATTGCCGCCGTGCGCGAAGCCTCCCCCCCCTTCCTCCTTCCCGGGCCTGAGTGGCGTCAGCGCCCCCCCCCGTCCTCCCTCCCTGGCCTGAGTGGCGTCAGCACCCCACCTCCCGCCCCCGACAGAGCGAAGCCCCCCCCTCTTTCCCCTCCCGGGCCCTGAATGGCGTGAGCCCCCGCCCCTCCCCCGACAGAGCGAAGCTTGAGCGAGCTCAAGCCCACGCTCTCAGAAACTCACACGCCAGATTGGCTGATATATATATATATATATATATATATATATTATATATATATATATATATATATATATATACACAGGTGTGTGTATGTATATAAATATGTAAGATATGTATGTTATGTGTGTGTGTGCGTATATGCGTATACGTATATGTATATGCGTCCGCATATATAGATACGTATATGTCTAGTGTGTGTGTACATATTTTTATATATATATATATATGTGTATAATTGCATACGTCTGTATATATGCATTTGTATATGCATACGCATATGTACATGCATCGTGGAAGCACACATGAGCAAGTGTGTAAAGAGATGTGTGTACGCTTGTTGTTTCCAAGCATACATCTCTCTCTCTCTCTCTCTCCTTCTCTCCGCCCCCGCTTCCCGCCAAGGAACTCTCCCCCCTTCCTGCCCCCCCCTCTCTCCTCCCGCTCCCGCACCCTTCCGCCCACTACCATTTATCCTTTTTCATCCTCTTCGCCTCCCTTCGGGGTGGGACTGCGTTTTCTCTCCTCCTCCCAAGATGGGCTTCGACGCAGGAGCTTGCCCCGCCATCTTTGTCACCGCCTTGCTGCTCGGTGATCGGCCGCGCGGCCACGGGCCGTGTGACCCGTCCCATGTGGTCGTTCGCGATCGACCTGGTCGGTCGGCCGGCGATCGTTGCGGGAGTTGTTGGCATTTGCGCTGCGATCAGCAATCGGGATCGACCTTTGTGCACCGAAGTGCAGTCGCCGACGCAGGCTGCAGCCACGACGCCCTACTCACCCGCGCCCTGCACCCAGCAAAATGGGCGCCTGACTTGCGATGCCCAGGCCCAGGGGAGGGCGTCGGTGGCCATGTGTTGCCTCCTCGCAGCGGGGACGCTCGTAAGGAGACCGCTTGGTGTACGCCGCCAGGCTGGTAAACTGTTCTTGGCTCACAAACGCTTGCGAATGTCAATTCCACTACCCTCGTCAAAAGTAGCCTCGAAAACGCGTTACTTGTTGGCGCCGACTCTCCGATGTCGATCATCGTGGAACTTCCCCGTCGCGCAGTTCCCAGTCGCAGTTCGGCCTGCTCCGACATTGGAGGGGGCGAGACTGAGAGGCCGAGAGGAAGCTCGTGGCGCGTGCTCGAGGGGACCGCCAGGGCCATCTGGCGGAGGCTGGGGGCAGCCCCGTGCCAGGGCCGCCCTTGGCGACGCCGTCGCCGTTTCCGCCATCGTTTCGCGGAACTGTCCGCCCTCGTTTTCTGAGGCGGGCGCTCCCACCCTACTTTTGTAGACGACGATCAGTGGCGAGGAAGCATGTTGCCAAATCACCTTCAGATGTATAAAAAAAACATGTTTTACACATGCTTTAAGCATAGCAACAAAACATGTTGCAAACATAGAAGGTTGTTCACACGGTTTCGATCCATCTTGCATTCAATGATAGGATTGGATTGTTAGGGTGTCCATTGTCATGGCATCCGCAACCCTATGTTCTGGCAGTGCCTGGGGTTCGTGTCCGACACGCTTCTCACGTGGGAAGATCCATCAGAGTCACGGCGGACCTGGAGCCGGGGCAGAGCCTCCGGAGTGGAACACCTCCATCCTGGAGGCCCCCTTCGTCCAGGTCGCCTCGAGGGAGAGCTGGCAATCGCGCTCCGCGCGGCTCGGCCCGGGCTCCACGGCTGCCCGTCTCCGAGGTGGCCCCGGGGGGGGCGCGGAGGCGTCCGCTCGTCGCGTGACGTGGCGCGCGGGTCTTCGGTCAGGGCCTTCCAGCACTGGTGGGGGGTCCTGGTAAAGCGACGCGAAGATCGGGACAAAATCGGATCGGGATAACTCGAAATCTCTGAGAATCGGCGGGTTTGGAGGACGTATTGGGCGCCGCGGCCGCTCCAGAGCGTTCCGGAACGCTCTGGGAGCGCTCCGGAACGCTCTGGAGCGATTTATCCCGATCCTGGCCCTGTTTTACCTGGTGAGAGGCCCTCCCAACAGGATCACCCCACCGCTGGGGATACCACCCAATAGGGAGGGGGGGTGACGTGGGGAGGTGCTGCCAACAGGGAGGGGTTATGAGGGGTTCTGTTGAGAGGTCCTCTCAACAGGCCCCTCTCTGACTCTGGATCCACCGTACTTCGATTGATTTCCGATTGAAAACTGTTTGGGATATTCGCCTCGAACGATGCGAAAGATTGAGGCGGAAATCTCCGCCTCGGAGAGGTAGGGCAGCTACGTTCACAAGAGTATGCAACGGCAAAGCAGGGGTGAAGTCGGCACCAGAGGATCCTGAAAAGTAGGGGGGATCTTGAGTCTGGTCTGGGGGTTATCTTTTGTTTATTACATGACGGTCGAGCCTATCATCCCGACGCTTTTCTTGATCTTCTGGGCGACAGTTCAGGATCCATCTCGATCCGATCGATCCGATCGATCCGATTCGGTATCGGCTGTGCCAGGCTCGATCTGGTTCGATTTCGACTTTCCGACGGTCCAGTGGTGTGGTTGCGCGGCGTTGTCGTGCATCCTGGCGCGGCCGATCCGATCCGATCCCGACCTGGTAGTGATGCAGCCCGTTGTCGAGGCACGTTTCGAACGGAATAGGGGGGCAACAAAATATCGAGACCGCTGCTCTGCGAATCTCTCCCAGGGTGCGTTCTGACTATGACTTCGAGGATAACCCAGCCGTGGCGACAAGGGCTCTCCAGTTCGAGCACCGATATCGGTACGTTTTCTTCCTCTTGACTGATCTGATTCCCCGCTTCTTGTTGCTCCTACTGCCCTGACTCCAGATCTGCCGCATTTGGGTTCATTTTCCGATGCAGAGTTGTATGGGAAATGTACCCCAGACGATTCGAAAAAGCAGGGCGGAAATCTCCGCCGCAGACAAATAGAGGTAAGATCGGCATCAAATGAGCTTGAAAGTAGTGCGGAAATTTCTGCCCTGCGTACGAGATCACCCAGAATGCGGCAGATCCGGGGTCGGAGGACAGGATCCGGAGTAGGGCGGGTCCGAGAGTTTGGATTTTTGCCCATGCGGGGTCCTCGGAGCTCTACCCATCGGTCGTTGAAAGTAGGTATTTTTGGACTCCCAGATTCCAATCTACTTTCAACGCCTTCCTAATTCAAGAGTCGAGTGGTTTTCCCTCTTCCCTCCTCTGCAGGAGGAGGGCGGAAACCCAATCTATTTCCAACGCCTTCCTACTTCATGTTTCTACCTACTTCTTCCGACCGATGGGTACATCACCTGCCGGGGGACAGTTTTTCGCGCAGGATCGTCCTTGGACAGAGTCACGGGGCCTGGCGAGGACCCCCAGGCGCCGAAAGCCACGAAAAAAAAAGCCGCCCTGCCCACCCCCGAACATCAGCGCTGCCGCCTGATGCTGCAGGTCGTGGCATCGCGCCTCCCAGCGCCGCCGGTGCCCTGGGCCGCCTGCCCCGCGGGCGCCGAGGCAGCTTGCCGGCCCACGCGGTGCCGGCTGGGCCGGCTGGCGCGGGCGCTCGCGGGGGCCGCGCGGGCTCGCCGCCGGAGCGCCCAGCGGCGGGGGGCCGCCGCCGTCGCCAGGGTGCGCCGTGGAAAAGCACCGTTTCTGTTTTTCGCCTGCTGCTGGGAGTCAGGCGTTGCGGGGTTCACGCAGAGGTGAGCTCGCTTCCTTGGGTTGTCCGTGCTCAGGGCCGCATGTGGTTCAAGCCATAGTTCAGCGTTTTCCCCTGTAGAACTAACTCATCGGGAAATGCTTCGTCCAGGTATGTACTGCTATCAGAAAGTAGGTTTCCATACTTTGCCCTTTGCTGACTCGCTGATTCTGTCCCCCAGAGGTCTGATTCCATTAGCAGGCGGATGATCTGGAGGTCGGACCTCCTCCTCCTTCTACTCCTGCTCCTCCTCCTCATGTGGCTTAGTCATCGACTCACTCATCCTTCTCCTCCTTCTTCTCCCCCTCCTCCGCAGCCCCCGCTCGCGCGCGCACGCAGCGACCATGCCGCCTGGCGCGCACTCGCTGCTGGCGCTGCCGGGGTCGGACCTCCATTCTGGAGGCGGAAAGTTTTCAGAATGGAGGCAACGAGCCTTGAGAACGGAGGTCGGACGTCCATATTATATATTGAAGGTTTTGCCGGCATCGCCCCAACCTACTACTTGTGCGTTGCCCCCCCCCCCCCCCCCCCAGTGGCGGTGCGCACGCTCAGACGTCTTAGACTGGTTACAGGCTAGGTGGCGGGCGCTTTCTGGCGGTGCCGCTTGCGTCACGATATGATGTAGGATGTTCGTGCCACATGTTCGCTTCGGACGTGCGCCTCCAAGGGTGGGGCATCGTACTACTATGTCCGCTTGCGTTTCGCAGAGGATCGAACACATTGGAGGTCGGAGGTCTAAGGCGAAAAGCCTCCATCATGAAGGGAACAAGCGTACAGAGTGGAGGCCAAGTATAGTTTTTGAAGGTTTCTCATTGCCCTGGGCACGACGGATGGTTCCTGGCCGTTCTCGACGATTGGGGGCCCACACCGAAGCCCCAGGACCGTCAAAAAAGTGTTCAGGATGAGAAGGCGGCCTGGGGAAAGGATCCAGGAGGGAATGTGGGTGTCAATGGCACGCCACCAGTCGTTACCTTCGCTTCCTCCGCCTTTTTTCTTGAAGTACCATTCACTTGCCGTTGCGGGCATTTGGCGCCAGGCCACGCCCCTTCGGGGTTCAAGCACTTGCGGAGCGCAGCCAGCGCTTCGCTGCAGGCAGAAAGGGAATGCGTGCCGCCCGCGCGCCCATTGCTATGCCGTCTTTCGACGTCGAGGATCACATCATCCCAGAGATGTACGTGAAGGTTAATACTGGCCTAGGAGAAAATAATGAGGATGCACTATATGCGTCAGGTAAGAACGGTCATCTGACCGAAGACAAGTGATCAGCCGAAAGACTGCAGGGATATATCCATTGGGTTGAACGAGATGATGCTGTCCACCGCAGCTGAAATTCGGCGCGCAAAGCAGCGGGCAGTGGAGGCGGAATGCCAGATGAAACTTGTGCTGAGCTCGCGAAGTCATCATTCCAGAGAGCAAGCTCCGGTGTGAAGTACACTATGTTTACTCTTGGGGGAAATCTCAGGACTCAGACAGAGACTCAGAGGGTGGAGAGTCTTTTCGAGCTCTTGACCAGGCGTCGCAGGCATCGTCTCTTTCCCGATCGATCGCCAGTGTGCCGAGCAAGAAATCGGACAAAGGTAAGATCGAACCGCGAACCGACCGCCGATGTTGCGGCCTTGCCATCGAGAGACGAGTGGAATGCTCCGGGAGCGCGCGTTGCTGCATATGGGACGGAATTCCCATCAGAAGAGCAAGCTGGGGCTGACGGTGCTAATTTTTAAGTCATGGAAAGAACTTACGACGACGCGGCCGAAGGGGGGCGTGAAGAAGTCGTCGTTGGCGACAAACAAACAAAATCACCCGTTCGACCTTGAAGAAGGAGACGGTCCAGGGGCGGGTCAGCATGCATTTCGCTTTCGCTGCGGCTACCGGAGCCGGCACGCAGACTTCCTGTCCTGTCCATCGTTCAGCAAGCTGTGAGTTCGACTCGCAGAATGTTCGAATCCCGTCGAGCGCGGCAGAGTCCATGGGAACAGCGAAAAGTAACCAAGAGATCTGCCCCTGGTGCACCAGAGAGCGCGCGTCCCGATCTCAGCACTGCTGTCTGCAAGCCCTACTTCAATGATGGCGCGAGGGAAAGCAACCCTAGCGCGAGTTCCCACGGTTCAAGGAGAAACAGAGAAGATGATGACACGGAAGGCACGCGAAATCCGCGAAGAGATACCGCCCTGTGCCATCGCAGCCGGCGGCGGCCCATCAGCGGTCTGCAGCGCCCTTCGGGAAAGGTCTGCTGGGTCAGACGATAAAAGAGAGGCTGAGGTGGCCATCCCAATGACTCCCGCCAGGTCGAGTAGGGACCCGTCGATCACCCCGTTCTCGAGCTTGGATGCGGCCCCGCCCGCGCCGGCGAGCTGTGACCGATGCCCAGCGAAACGGATGAGATCCAGGCCGGGTGCCTCGAGCAGATCTGGCATGTCGAGCGCCAGCGTGGCTCTCGTGGAGATTTAGTGCCAGCGGCACACGCCTCGGCTTCGACCAACGGCCGACCGTCGATGCCCAGGCCTGTCGGGGGAATGCGCCCGGCTTGCGCGCATGGCATGCGCCGGGACTAGCAAGGAATGCAGCGCGACCTTCCCGGGCAATGGGCGCATTGCGTAAGCGGGCCACAGTTGCATCGCATTGCGAAGCGCAGAGTGGCGTGCTGCTCAGCAGCGAGACTCTATGATCGAGTTCTCGCGGTTACAGGAGGGCTGCGAGCTTCAGATGCAGCGACTCGGGTGAGATCAGGCCGACGTAGCTGACACGACCCGAGTCAGGCCTGGCATTGAGATCGCTGAGAGTCGAACCCACGCCGAGGCCGAGGCGTCTCGAGCCGAAGCCGAGCGGGAGAACGGGACCCGGCGGATCGCGGAAGAGCGCATAATCTTGCTCGAACGGGAACAGCCGCTGCCCGCGGCGCACGGGGGGCGGAGAACGGCGTGACATACATTTCCGCAGTCGGGGGTCCGCCTGGCCGCGCGGCGTGGCGTGCTGCAAGTCGATCGGGGGGCGCAGACGAGCTGATCGCCTCACCGATCTCCCGAAGAAGAAAACGGCACGCGCATACATTGTCCGAGGTCTTCGCGGATTCGTTGGATCTGCGCTTGGCCGATTATTACTGTTTCGAGGTCCATTGATATGTTCTGTCGTAATGTATCGTGTTTTTGTTGTAAATCCCTGGCGAACTCCACGCTCCAGGGGACGGGGTCCACCGCCGATCCAAATGGCCCGCGCGGACTTTCGACAGTTTGTGATCATGCTATTAGCTTTCTCCCCTCCCGCTGCCTCTTCCCCTCAAGCCTTTCTGCCGTGAACAGTTCATGGCCGCCTGGGTGCACGCTGCAGGCGGGTGGGTTCTCGGCGCGCTCTCCGAGCGCTGGACTGGACCTGGCCGCAGCGGGATCGCCGAGGTCTCCTGCCGCTGCGTGTTCGAGGGCTCGGACACGACTGACGGCCTGGTGGCCATCCTCCGGAAGCAGCTGGCACGCTGCGGCCCGGAGCACCTGCAGGGGGTCGCGTGCCAGCCCTGCCCTCCGTGCCCGCTCCCGCCTGGGCACTACACGGGGCTCGACCTCTGCGGCGCGGCCGTGGTGGGCGTGGCCCTTGGCGCTGGGCTCGCGACCGCGGGCTGGCTGGCGGCGGGCTCGCCTGGACGGCCGGCGGCGCGAGCGCGCGCCCTCGCCGTCGAGGACGACGCCGGGGGCACACACGTGGCGACGCCGGCGGGCCTCGGGCGTGGCCGTCGGGCTCCTGGTGCTCGTGCTGATTGAGGGCCGCCATGGCCCGTGCGCTGGACACCCCGTTCAGCCAGTGCCTCGTCAGGTACGAGGACGACGAGAACTTCCAGTGGCATCACCGTGTGCTGCTGGTGAAGGGCGATGCCCAGAAGTGGATCTGGCTCACGCCGGATGGGGAGGTGGCCTTCGTCGACCTGGCCACGTTCCGCGTGCTGGCCCTTCGGCGTTCGGGCCCCTTCCCGGCGCGGCATGCGGGCAACATCTACGCCTTCGACGAGGTGGCGCCGGAGGACATGCAGGGCTACCTCGAGGAGGCCAGGGCCCTGGGGACGATCCTCGGGTTCGACCTCGCAGGCGTCGTCGGCCTCCCCGGGGACAAGTGGTACGTGAGCGACCCCACCTCGTCGCACTTCGGCGAGGAGGTGCCGCCGCAGGTCCTCGCCAACGAGGAGGTCCTGGTGCGGCGTGGGGATGTTGGGCTCGTACGGCTGGACGACGTCTGGGTCCACGCGATCAAGGTGGGCGAGGGCCAGAACTTCGACACGTACCTCGCCCGAGCTCGAGGGGGCGCGGGCCGGGACCCGCGCATCGTGGGCGACGACAGGGACCAGGATGGAGGCAGGTACATCGACTTCCGGGACTCGGTGCGCCGCATGAAGGAGGCGACGATACCGGGCTGGCCGCTGCAGGGCCGCCGTGCGACGAGGGAGGCTGTGCTTTCGCTTCGAGACGGTGGCCAGGGCAACTGGGAGGAGCACCACACGACGTGGCTCCGCCGCAGCGGAGTGGCCGAGCGCGGGAACGTCGCCCGGGAGCACCACATGATCTGCGTGTCTCTTCGGATGATGCAGCAGTTCGATCAGCTCGACCTGTTCAACATCGCGGGCGCCGAGTATCTTGTCAGACGGCTCAAGCAGCTGGAGTCGGCGACCCGCAAGAACCCTCGGGCCCCCGACTTCGAGGGGCTCGACCTCATCCTCGACACGGGGGTCGACGACACGGGCGGCATGGTGCTGCCGGAGTTCGACGGATGGGTTGGCGACCAGGCGCGTGCCCGCGCTCAGACCATGAAGGCGAATCGGCAGTGGCAGGAGGAGAGGACGGCCGCGCAGCCCAAGGCGCCCCCGAAGGGGCCGAAGGGTGGCGGGGCCGACGGAGGCAAGTAGCAGGGGGCCGGGCGGCCCCCTTCTTGGGCTGGGTGTCCTGCGGCGCCCCGCCCTGCCCGGCTGCCGCCGCGGGTTCCTCCGCCGCGGCCGCCTCCTCGTCCTCCCCATGGCTTCGGGATCACGCTCCTCGCACGGGGACCCGCTGCCGCTTTCGGCCCCGGGGCCTGCGCCGCCGGTCGACCTCGGCGGGGCGCCGCGGTACCTGCGCCAGCGGGTGCTCCAGCGTCGCTCACGTGAACACCGTGTTCGTGAGGCAGTGCATTCGATCAACTGTCTCGCCGCCTGCACGGTGCGCCATCGCGGCCGCGGGCCAGGTGGCGCTGCCGATTCAGGGACTGCGGGTACGGCTACCTCGTCCTCGTGTGGCCGACAGCTCGGCCGCTGCGTGGCGGAGTATGGCCCTCGCCCGGCAGATCTCCACCCTCGCGGAGCCCTTCAGGAGCTCCTCAAGTCCGACTCGCTCTACGGAGGCGCGCCGTCCAAGGTCGCCCCGTACGAGGAGTCCAAGCTCAAGTTCTGGCAGTCCTCGGTCACGCCTCGAGACGTGGAGGAGGTCTGCCCCAAGATCGTCGTCGACGCCTTCCGCGACCCCGACGCCTACATCCGCAAGCCGGACCGCGTGGTGGAGCAGGACCTCGAGCTGCTGCCGCCGATCAAGCCGTACTGGGACGCGCGGCTTGCCAGCGACGCCAGCCTTCGGCGGGACTTCCTTCTCAGGCTCGCGGGGCGGGGGCTGGTCGGCTTCCGGAGGCGTATCAGATCACGTGTGGGGTGTTTCTTCGTCGAGAAGAAGGGCGGCTGGATCCGCCTGGTCGTCGACGCTCGCGACACCAACCGCACCCACTGGGCGCCGCCGCACGCCGCCCTCGGGACCCCCGCCGCCCTCAGCGAGCAGGACTGGTCCGATGCTGCGCTCTCGGACGCTGGATGGGTCAGTGCTGATGGCTCTCCCGCTCAGATCTTCGGGTCGTCCCTCGACCTCCAGGACTCGTTCTACCAGTTCTTCTCGGAGCGCGTCGCGGAGGATTTCGGGATGGACTTCCCTGAGCGGGCCTCCTACTACCAGGTCTCCCACATCTGGACGCCCGACGGCCTGTCCCCAGTCGACCCCGACGAGCTCGTCTTCCCGGTCTTCCGCGGGGTGCCGATGGGGTGGTCATGGGCACTCTGGGCCGTGCACTCGTCCGTCACGTCCTGGGTCTCTGACACGCTGCCGGGGGGTGCCCGGCGCCTGCTGCTCGACAAGCAGCCGGCTCCCGTCGCGGCGCCCTTCCGCCCCGCGGGGTCGGTCTACGTGGACAACGTCTCGTTCCTGGGCCTTTCGAGCGACGACGTCGGGCAGGCGCTGCAGGCCGCGAAGGACAAGCTCGACTCGCTCGGCATCGCGTACCACGAGGTCGAGGGCCCGGCCACACACTTCAGCACCGTCGGCGTCGAGTACGACGGGAGGCGGAGGCGTCTGCGTCATTCCGATCACCGAGCCTGGCGCCTCTACTTGGCCTGTCAGGAGCTCGAGCGCACAGGGGTCCCTCGCGCGGCCTGGCAGATCCGAGTGTTCCTCGGGCACTGTGTGCAGCACTGCCTGCTGCTGCGGCCGGCCCTCTCGATCTTCCGCCTGTCTGCTGGGGCCCGCCGGGAGATCCAGCTTTTCAGGGGCCTCATCTTCCAGGCCGTCGTCTTCTTGGACCGGCCGATGTCCTCCCTGGTTTTGTGCTCCGACTCGTCCGAGGCGGGCTACGCTCTCCACCGCCGACGCGCTGACGTGCGACTCCTTCGGCAGCTGGCTGCTACCCGGGAGAGGTGGAGGTTCGTCCCCGACGAGAAGCGGCCCGACGCGGCGCTCGACGACACCTTCTCCCCGGGCTGGGCGCCGGGCGCTGGAGGAGTGCTGGGGGAGCCGCCGGGCGCTACAGGCATGGACGTCTGGGCCCCCCCGCCGACGCGCTCGAGGGAGGGCGCCCGAGGCGTACTCAAGGGTCGTCTCAGGCCCACTGTGCGACCTGCTGGCGTCTCCGTGCCCGACAGCCTCGTCGATCCCAAGGACTGGTCTCTCATCGTCGAGGGCGCCTGGCGCCGCGGGGCCCCCATCCACCTGTTGGAGGGCCGCATCGCCCTGGGGGGCCTGCGGCACGCCGCCCGGCAGGTCGACTGCCACGGGTCCCGCGTGCTCAGCCTGGGCGACAACATGTCGGAGCTCCTCTCCATCGAGAAGGGGCGGGCCGTGGACCTCGGCCTCGCCTGCCTGTGCCGGAGGGCCGCCGCCTACCAGATCGCCTGCGGGATCTCCTGGCGGCGCCGACACCTCGACACGGACCGCAACCTCAGTGACGCGGGGTCGCGGAAGGCGCTGCAGGGCGTCTACCGCCCGGGGCAGCGGCGGGTTGGCGGCAGGTCGGACAGGCCCACTCTGCCCGCGGGCTGCCCGCCGCCGGCGGCCACGACGCCGGCCCCGCCGGCGCCCTCGGCGACCGCCAGCTGGCCTGTCGCCGAGGAGGCTTGCGAGCCTCCCCCCGCGGCGCGGCTGCGCGGCGGCCGACTTCAGACCTGCCCGCCGCGGCCGCCGCCGCGGGCTCCTGGAGCTGCTGGCCGCTGCGGGCCGCGGCGGTCCCCACGGCCACGAGAGGGGCCCGCAGCCGGCGCCCCTGGCCACCCTGCACGCAAGGCGACGTTCGACGAGGCCGAGGGGGCCCGCGACCTGTCGCCGCCGGCGGCCTGCCCACGCGGGCGCCGCCCTCGGCCGCGGCCAGTGCCTGCGCCGCGGCCTGCTGGGGCCCTCGGACGAGTTGGACGGAGACTCGTGCCGGGGCCTCGGCTGCTCTCCTCCGAGCGGGCCCCGCCACGTCTTGGCCGCTCCGGGCCGCGTACGCGCGCCGGGAGCGCGCCGCGCGGGCCGCCTGCCCTCGGGAGCCTTCGTTTGCATGCCCGGCCTGGCCGAAAATGGACGACAGTGCCTCCCGGGCTGCCGCCCCCTCCGCCCACGCCGTTCGTCGCGGTCGAGCCGGCTCGTGTTCCTGTACCTCGGCTTCGTGGACGTCGGGCGGCTCTCGAGATCTTCTCGGGGGGGGCTCGCTGGACGGGGGCTCTCGCGCAGCTCGGTCTGGCGGTCGCGGCTCCGATCGACATCAAGTTCGGGGGTTGGGGCGACCTGCTTCGGCCCAGCATCGAGACCGTCGTTCGCCAGTGGATCGTCTCTCGCAAGGTCTGGTTCGTGCACTTCGGGACTCCGTGCACTCCGTGGTCAGTTGCTCGCCGTGGGGCCAACGATACGTCTGCTATACGCGCCGGTCGGCGGTGTGCTCATGTCACTCTTCGTCTACTTCGATTGTGCGTTCAGTTCGGCGTCAGGTGGTCCCTCGAGAACCCCCGGGGATCCCGGCTCTTCTCTTGGGAGCCTCTTCAGAAGTTCCTGTCCGAGCATAGCAAGGTCTCCGTGGTGTATGACTGCTGTCAGTTTGGAGCCCCGTACCAGAAGCCCACCAGGATTGAGTCTGACCTCCCCGAGCTCGGTATCCTTGAAAGGCGTTGTCTTGGAGGTCATGCCCACGAGCATCTTCAGGGGAAGGTCAAGGTCCGTGATCGCCAGGGTCGGCTCAAGCAGTTCTGGCGCACGACCCTGGCTGGAGCCTACCCTCCTGGAGTCTGCCACAGCGCCGCCCGGGCCTTGGCGCGCGCGGCGCCGCCTGCGGCCTGGCGACGAGATGGGGATCCACTGCTGCCCGGTCACTGGGAGGCTCAGCTCCGCCGTGCAGCCAAGATGGTCGACGTCCAGCCGTCCCTCGAGTGCCCCAGCTGCCCGCGGAAGTGGGTCGCGCTCTGGCCGCCAGACGCCGAGGGGTGGGGCCGCTTCGTCGGCCTCCCGCGGCCGCGGGCAAGGCCGAAGCCTCGGCAGAGGCCGGGCGTCGGCTGCCCGGGCCCGCCAGGTGCCCGCTGACTCCTCGCCGGGCTTCCTGCGGCGTTCGCAGGTGCGGCCGGCCACTCAGGCCCGCTACCTCGCCAGCGTCGCCGTGTTCGCCACGGCCATGGGTGTCGTCGCCGACCGCTGGGTGAGCAATGACCTCCCCCTGGTGGACACACTCCTTGAGGAGTACTTCGGGCAGCTCTACGTCGACGGCGGCAGCAAGAGCACGGCCCGCTACACCTTGGCCGCCTTGGCCTACCGTTTCAGCGTGTCGCTTCGTGCCCCAGGCGTCTTCCCGAAGGCGAAGGGCGCCCTCGCTGGCTGGGGCAAGCTCGAGCCGGACGTCACCTCGGAGCCGCTCTGCTGGGCTGCTGCGTGCTTGATGGCTCTGTACCTGGCCGGCCTCAACACGGAGATTGCCCTGCAGGCCGCCCGCGGCCTGGTGGTGCAGTTTGACACGTACCTGCGCCCTGGTGAGCTGCTGGACCTCCGCGTGCCCTGCTGCATCCTGCCGCAGCCGAGTGCCGGCTCAGGGTACAACAAGATGGGGCTCGTCGTCGGCGCCTCCGCGCTGGTCATGGGCGACGACGTGCACACGCGCGTCACCAAGACTGGCCTCCAGGACGACACCGTGCTCATCGATGGCCAGTCTCGTGCGGGTGTGGCTGGCGCGCTCATGGCCCTCGTCAAGAGCGCCAACCAGGCCCGCCTAGGGCGCCTCATGTTTCTCCATTCGTACGCTTCGTACAACCGCTTGCTCAAGAGAGCCGCCGTCGCCGTCGGCCTCCCGACCAAGGTGACAGCCCACCTCCCTCGGCACGGCGGTCCGTCGGAGGACTACTTGAGAGGCGCCCGCTCGCTGGCCGACATTCAGTCTCGTGGCAGGTGGTCGAGCTTCCGTTCTGTGCAGCGCTATCAGAAGAGCGGCCGTGCATTTGCATCCTTCAGACGCCTCTCGGCCGCTGTGAAGGCAGAGGCTAAGCGTGCAGAGGCCTTGCAGTTGTCCTTCCTCTCGTAGCGTGCCTCTCGGCGCTCAGCCTGCTGCAGTTTTCCCTCGGCATGCCAATGGAGTCGATATGGGATTTACTCCAGCGTTTGATATGAGTTTGATTAATGGTCTGGCCAGACTGTCAGATTTCTCGAGCCCCCTCGGCCTTGTGGGCCAGGGGCTCTCAGTGTTTCAGCTCTGCCGTCAGCCGCCATCGCAAGTGCACTCAGGCGTGGGCCTGAGCTCCGGCGCCTGTAAAAAGAAATGAAAGTCCTCGTCACGCCCGCTGTCTTTTTCCGTTAGGCTGACGCCGTTCCGAGTCTCTTGGGACCCACGCCCTGGGAGGGGTGTCCGTTCAAGATTGCATTCCATTTGGTCTCATCGCTTGTGCATTCGCTTTCTCCCCTCCCGCTGCCTCTTCCGCTTTCTCAAGCCTTTCTGCCGCCCCGCCCTTCCCACCCTGGGAAACGCTGGAGGAGAGGCACAGTAGCTTGGACTTCTGCGAATTCGGGTTTGATTAATGGTCTGGCCAGACTCTCAGATTTCTCGAGCCCCCTCGGCCTTGTGGGCCAGGGGCTCTCAGTGTTTCAGCTCTGCCGTCAGCCGCCATCGCAAGTGCACTCAGGCGTGGGCCTGAGCTCCGGCGCCTGTAAAAAGAAATGAAAGTCCTCGTCACGCCCGCTGTCTTTTTCCGTTAGGCTGACGCCGTTCCGAGTCTCTTGGGACCCACGCCCTGGGAGGGGTGTCCGTTCAAGATTGCATTATATTGTATTTTTTGTTCTAGTTGAAGTCTCAATTCTAAGAGTGAATATTTTTGATCCCCCCTCCAGTGCTCATTCTGTTTTTTAATTGAAGTGCCCCTCCCGGGGTTCGCACCCTGTTTTTTACAACTGTGCCTTTGGCCCCCAGTCTACAACAACAGCGGCTCCCGCCGAATAGTTCCTAGCAAGTTGTTGAAGAAACGCATTCCCGCTCAAGTGCTCCATGCAATAGATCCAGGAATCGCGTTTTCGCTTGAGAGGTGCGGACCTTTTACGCACGAAACGTTTTTTTGGGCGCTCTGGAATTGCGCTCTCGCTCGGACATTCGTCATATGTTACTCAGGAACCGCGCTCTCGCCTGAGATTTCCTGACAGTCCCTCTTGCGAATTCTTTTTCCTAACCTCCCGCATCCATCTCTCCATCCTTTTTTCCCCTTTCTCTCCTCCCTCCCTTCCCCCACGCCTTTCTTTATCGCTCGCTCTCTCCCTGTTATAGTAGTTTGTTATTACTGTGTCAGGGGCTTCGCCAAATACACGTTGCAGGGAAATATGATTCCCCCCAAAGGAACTACGATCAAAGTTGTCATTCTTCTGTTTCGTCTTTTTCCTCCTCTTCTAGCCAGGAGCGCCGATCCTGCCGGGGCGGGGCATTCTGCAGATCAATCGGGGGACGTTGCTTCTGACCACCTCACCGATCCTGGCCAGGCCTGGCCAGGAAACCCAGAGGAGCCGAACGGAGTCCTGAGCAGAAGTGGGCCTCGTCGTCATCCTCGCGAGGGCCGCCCTCGGGCGCGCGAAGGTGATCGCACTGCCGGCGGCTCTGAACCCGGGGGGGGGCCCTGACTCCGGATCCGCCCTACTTTGGGGAAATTCGTAAGTAGGGCTTGGAATTTCCGCCTTAGTTTTCAAGCCCCGTTGATGCCAATTTCCGCCCTACTTTTCTGTTGCTGTTTCTGTGGATTTCCGCCCTATTTTATGTTGGGTGCAGCAATTTCCGCCCTACTTTTTCGGCCTCTTATAGGTGGATTTCCGACGCAATTTTAAGTTGGAAAAAAAGCCAAAGTAGGGCGGATCTGGAGTCAGGGGGGGGGGGCCTTTTCTCCCGGGCTGCCCCCGCGACGGTGCCGAGCAGGCGCCGAGCAGCAGCCGCGCCTCGCGCGGCGCGAGGCGCGGCGTGAGGCGGCCGGGCCCTCCCCCCGGACGGGCCACGGCCGTCGGGGGCCCCCCGACGGTGCGAGTGACCGCGTCGTGCCGCTCGGGACAGGTGCCGACAGCCTGTCCTCAGAGCCCCGAGTCATCAGGGGTAACTCGGGTCAGGGCTAACTCGGGTTCGTTTTTCGGGATTCCGAACCCGAGTTATCCCGGACCCGAGTTACCCCGGATAACTCGGGCGTCCAAGCATGTCCTGATCATGTTGAACAGGACTCGTTGTCGGTGTCGCCGTGGACGTTGTCCGGTTGAGACAAACGGCCGCCTGCCCAACAATTGCCGTTGTCATTTTTGGGACAGCGTTTGTTGTTGGAGATCGTGCCTATTTTTGTCCGTGCCCATGTCAGGTGCCCAAAGTCGTGAGTCAGAGGGGATTCGGAGTGACTGCGCGGTTTTGGGACTTGGGTCGTTCGCCGAGGATATCGCAGGCGGCTGGGGCATCCGAGGTCCCAAATCCAAAAGCCGCATTAAAGTGATCCTGTTGCCCCTCTGTGACAGAGGGGGTGCGTTTGGAGGCCCTCTGTGACAGAGTTGCTCGTCATCCCGTTCCTCCTCATCCTGCTTCTTGATTTCGGATATGTCATGCTACCACTGCGCTCATCATCTCTGCGTCTGTGATCCTCGTCGTGTTTTTCCATGCGTCCTTTTCACAATTTCCACCACATTATCCTCCGTTGCCGTTCTGCCCCGCCATCTACCTCGTCACTCTCCTTCGTCTGCATGTCGTCATTCTCTTCCGCCCTTTTCTCCCCCCTCTGGTTCGACTTCCGCTCTTCGTCCACTTCGTTCTTCCGTTTCCAACCCCCCTTCCTTTCAACCTCTCTGCCGTCCAATCACATCGCGTCGTCCTTCGCCGCTATGCTCAAACCATCCCGCGCCCGTGGGATCGCCCGCGAGCGACGGTGCAGCCGGGCCGCTCGCGGCCTAACGCGCGCCTGCGCCATCGTCTTGCAATGGGCGATGCAGGCGGATACACATGGGGTGGCGCGGAAGGATGGTGGGCCAGCCGCAGCAGCGGCTGGCGCGGCTGGGAGGACGGCCATGATTGGTCAGCGTGGGGTCGGAGAGAGTGGCGACAAGACGGGAACACGCCAACGGAGGACGCCAAATGGCGCGATGGCCCTGCCGCCGCAGCAGCGGCGGCGGTCGCGCCTCAACGGCCGTCTCGCTTCGCCGCGCTTGGCGTCGTGAGCTCCCGCGCCCCTGGTCTCGGCATGCCCGAATTCGATAATTTCGTGAGGGCTGCCCTCCGAAACTCACCAGAACCTGGGGGCACAGTTTCAGGGGAGGGCTCGGGATCCCGAGCCGCGCCTGCGGCGCAGGAGCCCCGCGCCACCGCTGCGGCGGCGGCGCGCGGGCCCTAGGATTTTGAGAAGTTTGATGTCAATTATTTTTTGAGTTATGAAGAGAGGCTCGGCACTTCGTTTAAGCAACACAACCAAGCGTTGAGATGGTGGCGCAACGTGAAAGAAGACCCAACTGCCCCGTTCGAGTCAGAAGCCAAGTGGTTTGACAATGCGGAGCCCACCATGGTCGCTGTTTGCGACCACGGTGCGAGAACGAGCTTTGGTTTCAGAAGCGACGAGGAAGTCCCTTGGCGGTGGCAAGAGATGGCGGCGACGCTCAGGGAGGAAGATATCAGGGAGGTCGCGGGGGGGCCCCGCAGCAGCGGGGCTCTGATCGGCTGTTCCCTCGAAGTCCGGCCAAACAGCTACGACCACATGCGCCAGAGAATTGTGCGCGCGCGACAGTTCGCGGGGCAGCGGGTGAAAGCGAAGCTGCCGATGTGGGATTTCGCGTTGCGCCGCGACGACGGGACAGGCGTCCGCTTACACCCGCACTGGGGCGACAGGAAGGTCGAAGCTCTGCCCCTCGTGCCCCGCGCGGACGCGGTGAGGCCATCAGCCGCGGGTTTGGGCGGGAGCGACGGGTCAGGAACACGTCGCCGGTACAAGGACCTCGGTGTGGAGCGCAAGGTCAAGTTCGACGCCGCCAGAGAGAAGGGGAGGCCGACGCCTTCTCAGGGGCCCCGCAGCAGCGGGGCCGCGGCGCCCAGCACCGGCGACATGCAAGTTGCATTCGGCAGCGACCCGCGCCCCAGTGACTGGTGGAGCAGCCGCAGTGGGTGGAGTGGCGGCCAGGGGCACTGGGAGGCCACGACCACGACCACCTGGAGGTGGGTCGAACACCCCCCCGAGACCAATCCCTGGGAAGAACTTAGCTGAGCCATCGCGCAGGGTCCGCCCCTCCGCAGCAGCGGAGGGAGGCCTCATCGACCGAACGTCGACCCTCCGCAGCAGCGGAGGCCTTGCCAGTGCATCGTGGGCGGCGGCGAGTCGCGCGCGCCGTCGTGCTCGGCGACCGCTGCCCGAGCGGAGAAGGAAAAAGAATCGGTGCTTTCATCGGTGCTGTCGTTGCCTCCTCTCCCTCATCGCTTTCTTCTCCCTCCCCCTCCAATCCCCCATCCCGCCGTCACATTTTATCGTCTCCAATCGTATCGGGAGCTCCCGCGGCAGAAGAGCACCCAGAACGAGGTCCTCCGTGTCAGAGGGGGGGCATCTCAGGGCCCCTCTGTGACAGAGGGGGGGCCAAAAAAACAAATGATCACTTTAATGCGGCTTCTGGATGAAGCCGTGCGGAGACGAACCGTGCGGCGAGGCATTCTTGGGAATTCCGGCGTCACAGCACAGTTTTGCTCCGCATCGTTTAAGAACACCGAAACTTGGAGGAGTTGCGGTCTTGGCCCTCCCTGGAGGTACCCCAGGGGCGTGTGAACCGCAGATCCCCGCAAGCCTCTCGCTCGGAATGCTGCGGCCACGCCCGTGAGAATTGCACCATCGCAGGCGCAGTGGCCCAAGATGTCGTTCCGAAAGATGCGCCCTCAGAGTGAGCGATCAGATCGCGCGCAGAGTCGCAAACACCGTGCGCAGATCACCACAGAGCCCCTCGGCGGGCCAGCCTGGCCCCAGCTGCAGCCTGGCCTGCCTCCTGCGCGTGCATGAGCAGCCGTTTCGGCCCCGGCGCCTTTTGGCCCCCCTCGCGCCACGCAGCGCGACCTTCCCTTGCCGCCAGGCCGCCCACTTGGGGTCTGAGCCGGTGGGGGTGGCGTATCGCGCCGCATCGCCGATGCACCGGCGAGGCGGCTCGACGTGGCGACCGATTTTCTCGACGCCGACGGCGCCGATGCATCGGCGGTGCTGCGCGATCCCCCGACCCCTATCAGCCCGGGCCCCATCTGGGAAGCCTCTTAATTGCCCCCCCCCGTCCGTTCGAGCTCGAGATGTTGGCGGCCCGAGGCGCCGCGCGCCCGCTGCTGCAGCGGAGGTCGCAGGTCGCAAGGACGTGGCGGCTGGCCTCTACCACTGCCCTCGACGCGAAGGTCCCCAGAGCGCTGGGAGAATCGGGCCGACGGCGGCCAGATCTCGGGAGGGGGGGAGGAGGAGGGGGAGGAAAAGGAGGAAAAGGAGGAAAAGGAGGAGGAGGAGGAGGAGGAGGAGGAGGAGGAGGAGGATGGAGGAGGAGGAGGAGGAGGAGGGGGAGGAGGAGGAGGAGGAGGGTGACGATGACAATGGTGGTGACGATTGCCGGTGGGGGTGATGGCGATGATGACGACGACGCTTACGATGAGGATGAGGATGAGGATGAGGATGGTGATGGCTACGTGTGATTGCGTTGCGATGTTGATGATGATGATGATGATGATGATGATGATGATGATGATGATGATGATGATGATGATGATGGTGGTGCATATTATGATGATGATAGTGATGATGGTGATGATAGTGATGAAGGTGATGTTGACGATGATGAAGGTGATGTTGCTGTTGATGATGATGGTGATGATGACGGTGGTGATGACGATGCTGATGACGATGACGATGCCGATGTTGTTGATGCGATGTATAATGAAGCATATGATGGTGGTGATGATGGTGATGATGATGAGGAGGAGGAGGAGGCTAAGGATGCTGAGGGGGAAACGGCAAGGTTCCTCAGGGAAGGAACACGTACCGACGACGCCAGATGTCAGGACAGGAAAGCAATCAGGTGCGATAGTACGATGGACCCATGCATCCAAAATCTTGATTGTTTGCATTCAGTGCATGGCCCTGCATCCCGGATCGGACTGGCCAGGATCGGTGTAGGTGTAGAGCTTTCCGATGTTCGTTGCCGAAGCTCGCCGCGGCCAGAAAGGCTCCATTCGCTCCTTAAGTGGCGCTCCTCATGGCAATCATTGCGATGGCTGTGAAAAACGTCGGACGCGCGCGGATCGGCAGATCTTAGCTGGCGCGGGACACCTTCCCCGCATTCCCTGTGCGGCACTTGGGCGCTCCAGGCTCCCTGGAGAGGCCCAGAGGATCGAGAACCTCAATTCTGAAGGTAGAGCGTCCATCCTGAAGGTCATAGAAAAAACCTCCAGGAGTTAAGGGACTCCAGAGTGAAGGCCGAACCTCCGTTTTGGGGGTGCTCGATCGTCTGGGGGTGTGGGGAGGGAGTGGCGGGGAGCTGGCGGAGATCTGCCGCCCATGGGCGTTACCTTCACGCGAGTGAGTTCCTCCCTCCCGCGGGCGTACTTAGGCCATGCCACTCCTTCAGGTGGGGGGTGGGCGGTTGCCTTGCGAGGAGGGGGGGTGATTGGGCAAGAGCACGCGCAGCTTCTTGACGCCCTGGCCGACTCGGCCTTCCGGGAAGAGTTCGCTTGCCTTCAGAAGCCAGCGACTCGGGTGACTCCATGGTAGCCCCCGATGGCGACCATTTTTCTTGTCAAGCTGGCCATCACCTGGCGGATTACCTCTGTCAGGGGAAACTTACGCCTTACCCCTGGCGGCGCCGCCACTGGCGCGCTCCGCGCGCCAGGGAGGGGTATCAGCGCAGATCCACGAAATCAGCGCGGACCTCCAACAATTTATTTTCATGTAGTGTTTTTTCCTCCAGGTCTCCCTCGACCTGCCAGGTCGTACTTGTAGGCGTACTTTTTAGGCCCTACGAGAAGAACTCGGCCGAGTCGTACCAGTAGGCCTGAGTAGACCTTCTGGTTCGACACGCCGCGAAAACCTGAGCATATTCCCCTCACAAAAAAAAGTCCAGGCCTCCCGAATGGGGTCCGAGCACATGGAGTCGGAAGGTCGCGCCGCATCGCAGACGCATCGGCGATGATCGGCTCGATGTGGAGCCCGACCTTCTCCGCGTTGGCAAGACGGATGCATCGCCGACGTCGCCGATGCAGCGGTGGTGCGGCGCGGTCCTCCAGCCCCACCTGGTCGGGTCCATTTGGGAGGCTTCCACGAAGGTAGCTTCCTTCAAGGCGCACGTCGAGAAGCACCTGCCCGCGGACGGCAAGGGCGTGTGCTTCGCGACCGCCTGGCTTGCGACCGACAACGTGTTCGTAGCGCTGATGCACGAGCACTTTCCCAAGATTCTCGCGGGCATGAACCTGGTAGCCATCGACACGATGCACCTGTTCGACACGACCCGCCCGTGTGCCGAGCAGGTGGAGGCGAAGTACCAGAAGAAGGCGCTGTGGAAGACCGTCGAAGGGGTCACCACCCGCGAGGAATTCAACGCGAAGTATGGGGACTGTGAGGAGATGGAAACAGCGGACTTCGACTTCGTCAGCAAGGTCGAGCCGTTCCAGCGAGCCTTGGCAGAGTGTAACAAGACCATCCTCATCACGGGTCGGCGCATGGACCAGGCGGCCCAGCGTATCTCGTTGGACGTCTGGGAAGACGGCAAGAGCACGCTGAACCCAATGGCCGACTGGTCGTGGAGCGACATCACCGCCTACGCAGATGCCAAGGGCGTCCCTGTCAACGAGGGCCACAGCTACGCTTACCGTGCCCAGGCGCCGATCGAGGCCACGAAGCGGCACTTGCCAGACCTCCCGTGGGAGAAGGTGCCGTTGGGCAAGCCGTTCTGGCGGTGCTCGGACAAGGAGATCAAGGGCGACCCTCCGGCCCCCATCACGTACGTGTTCAAATCCTTCGGCGACATCCACACCACCGTGCCCGTGGAGCCGCACGAGAGCGAGCGCGCGGGGCGCTTCGTGCGACAGGCGAAGACGGAGTGCGGCATCCACACGCGCACCACCACGGCGGGCTCCCCCCACGGCGGGGCGCTCGTGGACCTGATGGTGAAGGACGCGGCCAAGGCCAAGGCGCTGGTGGCGGAGTGCACCGCGGCCATCGAGCTGAACGAGAGGCAGGCTTGCGACGTGTTCTGCCTGCTGAACGGGGCGTTCAGCCCCCTCAAGGGCTTCATGGACGAGACGACGTACAAGTCCGTGGTGAAGGACATGCGCCTTCCCGAGAAGCAGCTCTTCGGCCTGCCCGTTACGCTTGACGTGGCCGACACGTCCGGCTTCAAGCAGGGCGATAAGGTCGTGCTGAAGTGGAAGGGCGAGGACGTCGCCGTGCTCGAGGCCTCCTCCATCTACACGCCAGACAAGACGGTGGAGGCCAAGGAGTGCTACGGCACCTCCAGCATCGAGCACCCCACGGTGCACGCTCTGGTGCAGGACGTGGGTCGCCACTACGTCGGCGGCAACCTGCACGGCATCAAGGCCGTTGCGTTCCCGTACCCCGTGCAGACGCCCGCCGAGGTGCGCGCCGTGCTCCCCGAGGGCAAGCCCGTCGTGGCCTTCCAGAACAGGAACCCTATCCACCGCGCACACTTCGAGCTGCTGGTGTGCGCCCAGCGCGACGTGAAGGACTCCATCCTCCTGGTGCACCCGACCTGCGGCCCGACGCAGCCGGGAGACATCGACGGCGTCGTTAGGATCAAGACGTACGAGGCGTTGAACGCGGAGACAAAGGAGCAGTACCCAATGTTCCGTTGGGCGTACCTCCCGTACAGCATGAAGATGGCTGGGCCTCGGGAAGCGATCCAGCACATGATCATCCGGAAGAACTACGGCGCCACGCATTTCATCATTGGTCGTGACATGGCTGGAACGAAGAGCACGATCACGGGCGACGACTTCTATGGGGCGTACGATGCGCAGGAGACGGGCAAGAAGTACGAGGCGGAGCTGGGCATGACCGTGACCCACTACGAGAACATGGTCTACGTCGGAGAGGAGGAAGGCTACGTGCAGGAGAGCGTGGCCAAGAAGGCTCAGGGGCAACGGCACAGGGGGGGGAGAGCATCGGCCCCCGATCGCCCCTTCCTCGCCGCTCGGGGCCTGGGCGCCCCAGCCTGCCCAGGAGCGTGCGGTTCTGCCATCGAGGGCCTGCCGCCGAGCTATCGGCGACGCATCGCCGAAGGACCAGGTCAGTGCTCCCCGCCTGGGCCAGTCACTCCCGTTCGGCCCCCCTCGCGGGGGGCGGGCTGGGGGTCGGGGGCGGTCGTCGATCGAGGTTCGAGGATCGAGGATCGGGAATCGAGGATCAAGGTTGGAGGATCGACGATGGAGGTTCGAGGTTCGAGGTTCGTGCCCCCTCTCGAAAGGCGGGCAAGAAGATCGTGAAGCTGAGCGGGACAGAGTTCCGCAGGAGGCTGCGCGCTGGCGAGGAGATCCCAGAGTGGTTCTCGGGCCGAGCGCGTGAGAGGGGGCGCGCGGGGAGGGAGGGAGGGATCAGGAGGAGTAGGAGGATGAGGAGGGGGTGAAGAGGAGGATGGGGAAGGAGGAGGGGGAAGAGGAGGAGGAGGAGGAGGAGGACGAGGAGGACGGGGGAGTAGTTGGGAGAGGGGGAGGAAGAAGAGGAGGGGGAGAAGAAGGAGGGGTAGGAGATGGGAGAGAAGGAGGAGGAGGAGGAGGAGGGGGAGGAGGAGGACGAGGACGAGGTGAGCAGAGGAGGAGGAGGAGGAGGAGGAGGAGGAGGAGGAGGAGGAGGAGGAGGAGGAGGAGGAGGAGGAGCAGCAGTGTAAACCCAACGAGGTTGCAATCAACCCTCCCACTCAGCGTCGTAGGCCCCTACAAGAAATTATTCATATTAGCACCAAACTTGAAGACACTATTCTGATAGTTCCCCATTCCTGGGACTCCAGCGCCGCGAAGCAACGTGGCTGTTGCGTCGTGCGCAGAACACCGTTCCAGGAAATCATCACCGCGAATCAAAGAAGTGATGGGTGTGTCCTGACGGCCCTCAATCTCGCAAGAACATCTTCTTATGACCTCAGCCAGACGAATCTGTGACACGGCTACAGACTGGTAAGATCGTGCGCGGCGCTTAGGCGAGAGCCCCGTTGTGAAAACGAACCGCCGTCCATCTTCGCAACTGTTCCAACGTTTTAACACGAATGTGCACGGAATTCAGGCGAGGCCAACATGTTGAAAACCAGCCCCCTTCCATCCTCGAAATTGCTCCAATTTAAACGAATGTACTCGGCGCTAGGGCGAAAGCCACATTTTGGAAACCAGCCGTCTTTCATCCCTGATACTGTTGCACACCTTTTAGAAAAATCTACGCGGCGCTATGGCGATGCAAACTTCAATATTCAGTATCTTAAATTGTGAGGAGGTGTCAGGCGAAACGCCCGGCCCGCCCTACCGAGCCGTCCTGGGGCTGCTTCAGGGAGAAGTTGTCTATGAGGTACAGAGATGGAGGAGGAGGAGGAGGAGGAGGAGGAGGAGGAGGAGGAAGAGGAGGAGGAGAGGAGGAGGAGGAGGAGGAGGAGGAGGAGGAGGAGGAGGTAGAGGAGGATGGAAGATGGAGGTGGAGGATGGAGGGTGGAGGGTGGAGGATGGAGCAGGAGGAGGTGAAGGAGGAGGAGGAGGAGGAGGACGAGGAGGCAGAGGAGGAGGAGGAGGAGGAGGCAGAGGAAGAGGAGGAGGAGGAGGCAGAGGAGGAGGAGGAGGAGGAGGAGGCAAAAGACGAGAACTGGGACGAGGGCGACAGAGGACTTAGCGGGGCTTAGCAGTCTTGGAACCATTGGGAGTGGCTTGACGTGGCCTTGGTTAGGCACACCTCCAGCTCATCCGGGATTGACCTTGCCGAGGTGGAGGAGGAGGAGGAGGAGGAGGAGGAGGAGGAGGAGGAGAGAACGGGTGACGAGGAGGGACGTCCCGGGGGCGACCGCCCATGGGGTGGGTAATGGCAGCGCCGTTTGCCGGTGCCAATGCTACGAGGTTCGAGGTATGAAGACAGAGAGGACGAGGAGGTTCCCCTCGGAGTAGGGAGAGGAGGGAGGAGGAGGGAGGAGGAGGAGGAGGAGGAGGAGGAGGAGGAGGACGACGACGAGAAAAAAGGGTGGGTGAGCCCTCCGGGAAGGCGCCGCGCCTCGCAGCAGCGCTCCTGCCTCAGAGGGAGCACTTGTCAGAAGCCTCCGAGAGCGGGGGGCGATGCTGCCGAGAGAACTCCACTGTGCTCTCGCAGAGGGTCGAGCAGACTGAGTTGGGAGGTCGAGCCTCCCATCATGAGGGAAAAGTCTTCGCGAATGGAGGGCACGACCCCCTTTCTTCTCGGGGAGAAGAGAAGCTTTTAGAGTGCAGGACACAGCTTCCAGGGTGGAGAGGCCGAGCCTCTGTTCTGAAAGGCCCTTGATCCTCTGCGTTGGAAGGCCGCCCCCCCTCGCCGTGGGCCCCCTCTGTGCGCCGCCAAGGTTCGCCTTCAAGTCCGTGGTCGACATCCTCAGAAAAGCCGGCGACAGCGCCTTCTGCTGAGGCCCTCGGCCGCCTCCAGCGCGTGCCCGCCTTCCCTCCGTCCTCGCCTCGGGTCGGACGACCCGGGGGGAGGCGAAGGTGCCGCCTCCCGTGGGGGCGCGAACCATCCACCGACACCGACGCGGAGGGTGGGAAACCGAAATCTCTGAGGCCGGACCCCCCACTTTAGGAGGGGGGGACCATAACGAAACGAAATAGCACACATAATGGAGGTCGACCCTCCATTCTGGAGGGTTTGATTCTCTGGGGACCTAGCTAAAGGGCCACGGGTTCGGTGAGCACGGCACTCTAGTCAGGCTAGGAGGGAGGGCGCATCGGCCGATCATGGGCCCAGAATGAAGTTGGCAAGGATGGGATGTAGGGTGAGTCCGTGACGTGTCGACACGGCGACGACGAGGCGTTCAAGGATGAATGCCGCCAGTGGTTCGGAATCGGCCGACGTCAAAAGATTTGTGTATCGCAAAGCTGCGATCGCTATTGGATGAAAGAACGAACCACACGGTGTCAGAAACTAGCGCCCAGGTCGTCACGACACGAATTTGCCCCTCGCCAGGCCGGTCTTGGCCACGGGATCAGTGGGCACGGCACTTTGGGCAGGGTTGGAGGGAGGGGCGGATCTGTTGATCATGGGCCCAGGATGCTTCTGGCACGGATGGATGGGGTGTACGGCGGATGGGTTCGTGTCTTCCCACCTCACAGCCTGGGCTTCCGTGTTGCTGCCGCTGCGAAGGGACACACGGGGTCGGCTGCGCGGACATTCGCTTTGCCCGAAGCTGGGCAAGAAGCCAGCCGTCCGCGGCCGACTGCCGTGCGCGGTGCGCGAGGCCTCTCTTTCCTCGCCGCTCGGCTGCCCGTTTCGGCGACGCGCCCTCTACGCCCTTGTGAGCACGGCTTCCGCGGGAAGCGCCGCGCCCGAGAACCCCCCCCAGACGGGGACCGACTCTCACCATTTTTGTATTTTGGACTCCTGCCTGGCGCGCCGCCGCGCGCGCCGCCTCAGGTTTCAGACGACGCCAGGTTGCTTTCACCATTTTTGTAGCTGGCTGCCTGCGGCAAGTCCCGCCACCGCGCCAGGCCCAGCCTTTGGGGCGGCCGCCTTCCGAGAGGGCACGGGAGGCCGTCGCATGGTACGCCTCGTGTCCCCAGGTTTGGGGGAGCCGTGTCGAGTTCTCTTTTCCAAGAAGTTGTTGATTTCCCCCTGCCGGTAACCACTTTGTTTTTCAACAGGCGTGCTTCTCTCCCGAGGCTCGCGCCCGATTTTTGACAAGGAAAAGCGAGGTGTCACCACATTGTGCCCCTGGCCCCCGGTTTGCAACAACAACGGCTCTCGCCGGGTACTTCTTCAGAATGTATTCCCAAGTGGCGCTCTCGCGCGGCATTTCCTCACAATTTACGCAGGAATCGCGCTCTCGCGTGGAATTGCCTCGCAATTTATTCATATGCCGCGCCCTCGTCACTCAGGAATCACGCTCTCGCTGTGGATCTCCTCCCGATTCATGTGGGAACCGCGCTATCGCTCGAGACTTCTCGCGATTCATGCAGTAATCACGCCTCAGCAGCCCGCCTGCTCGACCTGACCGCTTGGGCACGCCCTCCTGACCCCGTTAGGGTCTACCCGCCCGATCTGCCCGTCTGTCTCTGCCACGTGTTTTGTGCTCCTAGCCCCCCTTCTGCTACTCTCTCTCTCTCTCTCTCGTGCTCTGTCCTCCTCCCTCCCGTTTGTCTCTTTCTTCCATCCGTCCTCTCTTCCCCTGCCTTAGGGGCTGCACGAAATACATATTGCAGGTAAGAAAGATACACCCCCAAAGGGGTACGATCGAGTACGAAGAGGGCGGGTATCGAGGGCTTGGGACATCCATCGAGCAGATAATAGCGAACAGTATTATAATGATTGTGGTTTCTGCTGTTGTTTTTGTTGTGGTTTCTGCTGTTGTTTTTGATGTGGAGCTCTCATTTCTAGAGAATAATTGTTGTTGATCCCCCCTGCCTGGCAACCATGTTTTTTTCAACTAAAGTGCTTCTCCCAGGGCCCGCACCTTTTTGATGAGTTGTCACCATTCTGTCTTGTTGGCCCTCGGTTTACAACAATAACGGCTCCCGCCCGATATTTCCGCACACTAAATTCACAAATCGCGCAATCACGCTCTCACTGTGCATTTCCTCATGTTTCATTTTGGAATCGCGCTATCGGCCGAGGTTTCCTCGCAATTAATTCAGGACGCACGCTTCAGCAACCCGCCTGCCCCTTCTCCCTTCATTCCACCCTTAGTTGACGATGACGACAATAATGATGATGCTGATGATGATGATGATGATGATGATGATGATGATGATGATGATGATGATGTTGATGATGATGATGATGATGATGATGATGATGATGATGATGATGATGTTGATGACGATGATGATGATGATGATGATGATGATGATGATGATGATGATGATGATGATGACGATGATGATGATGATGATGGTGCTGATGATGATGATGACGATGATGATGATGATGATGATGATGATGCTGATGATGCTGATGATGCTGATGATGCTGATGATGCTGATGCTGAGGAGGATGAGGAGCATGAGGAGGAGGATGAGGAGGAGGAGGAAGGCCCTCACATGTGACACTTGTCGTCTTCACCTCTTGATCCTTCACATCTCGAGGAGCTCTCACGGAGGTCATCCGTGCCGAGTGAGAGCTGTCTTGGGTTTTCGTGCGGCAGTTTGGCGGTTTATTTGGGGCCCTCTGAGGCCGTCTTGGGGCCTTCTAAGGCCTTCTTGGGGCGGATTTTCGGTTGGGGGTCCCCTTCTTGGGCCCCTCTTGGGGCCGCCTGGGGGTTCTCTTGGGCTGTCTTGGGCGCCTCTTGGGCCGTCTTGGCGCCTTCTTGGGCCGTGTTGGGGCCCTCTTGGGAGCCCCTTGGGCCTTCTTGGAGCGGTCTTGGCGGCCTAGTGGGCCATTGTCAACGCCGTGTTGGCCGAAAAGGCGTATATGCCAAAAACGTTATTTCCTACAGGAATGACACGATTTTGGCCTCTGGGGCCCCGCTTCGGCAGCCGGTTGGAGGCCTCTTGGAGCGTCGTGGCGCCCTCTTAGGCCGTTTGGGTGAAGCGATCATTCGGCGACTTTGTGCTCTCTTGGGCCATCTTGAAGGTGGCGTCGGAGGCTCCCAGCCGAGCCCGGGGAGCTCAGACCGCCTCGGGTGAGTTCGGCGGAGGGTCGTCCACCATGAGAGGGGGGGTCAAATTGCCGGTTTGGGGTCCCGGAGCGGGGGTTATGGGGGGGGAACAACAATCTCACACGCCTAGAGACCCGCAAGGGGTCGGCGGATTTTTACTAGGCATCGTGTCTTCGGTAGAGCGGAACAATCATTTTCGCGAGGGATCGTGGCCTCGGAAGGGGAGGGGGGGGTCCTATAGAAGAATGCGGAAACGCTACCAGACAGCACTTGGCACTCTGCCACGCCTGAACGTGCCAGGGGGCATGGTGGCAGATTTTGGACTCCTGCCTGCGCCACTGCGCGCGCCGCCAGGTTTCAGACGACGGCTGGGCACGAAGAAGGCCAGGGCACAGCACTCGCTGCTCATCAAAGAAAGACCGTCGAGGAGCAGAAAGCTGCATAGCACAAGCTGTCATAGGTCCGCGCGGATTTCCTTCGGTCGGCGCTTGGTTCCCCTGGCGGCGCCCCCGGCGCCGTCCTGGCGCGCTCCGAGCACCAGAGAGGGGGGTCTACTGCCAATTCGAGAAATCTGCGCGGACATACGAAAGTGTATGTTTTGCATGTTTTTGTTGTTCTAGATATCCGCATCTGCCTCCAGGCCGAACCGACTCCTTCCTTGGAGGCCTCCAGAAACAGTTAGAACCCCGCACTCGTTCCAAACCCGCTAAACTTTCCACTTGCTCACATTCCTCTCATCACCATCCTCCCCTTCCTCCTCTCCCACTCCGCCTCGTCCAGCCTCCTCCTTCTCCTGCCCAGTCCGTGTCCTCCAGCCTCCTTCTCCCCCCCCCTCGTTGGAGGACCCCAGGCCCCCTCAGAATTGGTCACGCTTCGTGCATCCTCGTCAACACATCCAGAAACGATCCCCATGAGAGTTACTTTGGCCAGGGAAATGTGGGAATGCAGTCCAAGAATTAACTAGACATGCCTTCGCGGACCTTTCGAAGGAGGAAGAAGAGGAGGAGAAGGAGGATGAGGGAGGAGGGATGAGGATGACGGCGACAAGGATCGTGGTGAACAGGAGGGCGAGCAGAAGGAAGCGGAATTATCCCCGCCAGCCCATCCAGGAACGATCAACGTGCGAGTTTTTTCATTGATCAGGGAAGGGTGGGAGCATGAAGTGGAACAGCCACCCAGAAGGAGGGGTGGAACGCCGGATCCATCCGAACACGATGCCCAGGCGCGTTGCCATCGGGAGCGCGGACAGAGGGAAGGATCAGTAATGGTTGGAAGTGTTCCCATGCCACGGTTGCTATGTTGGGCCGTGTTGGGGCCTTTCTCGTGACGTATTTGCCTCCTTCATGGGTATCTCAAACCGAGTCGGGGCTCTGCGGGGTTCTGACAAAAGCTTGCAAACTCACAGGGTTCTGGCAAAAGCTTGCAAGGTATTGCAGGGTCTTTGCATGGTATTGCGGGGGTCTGCTTGCAGGGTCGTCTTGCAGGGTACTGCAGGGGAGGGTCTTCGCAGTGGGGAGGATGCAGGGTATGGCAGGGTCTTTGCAGGGTGTCCACGGGAGAGGCCAGGGATATGGGCTCGGTTCTATTCTGTTATGTTAGAAGATGGAAAAGGGAACGCGTCAGACCACCTACGCCCAGAGGGCTGGTGGGATTTGGCGGGACATATTCTCGTTCAGCTTCAGATGAATCTTGGATAGAAGAAGGAGGAGGTGGGGAGAGGACGAGAATGAAGAGGAGGATGGGGGAGGAAGAAAGTGACGACGACGACAGGAGAGACCGCTTTGGAGGTCTTGAAGGCGACGACGACGACGAGGGAGGCGTCGGGGGCAGTGTTGGAAGTGTTCCATGCCCTCTCTTGGGCGACCTTGCATTTGAAATTACAAGTGTTCGGTGTGGCCACTCGGAGCCGTCTTGGGGCAATCTTGGGATTTCTCAGAGGCCTATCTTGTGTAATACTGTGTGCAACGGATGCTCTCCGACACCTTGCGGGGGGAGGGGCGTCCAGTCCCAGGGGAGGGATTTCCCCTAACAAGGCGGGTCGACCCATCATGTCGCATAACTACAGGAGATCAGCAAGTCACGGCCCCCAAGACGGCCCCGAAACGGCCCCAAGACGGCCCCCACCGCCATACAAGACACGACAAGGCCTGACAAGGCAAGACGCGACAATACCTTTCCAGATACGCCAAGACAAGCTACACGTCGGCCCACATTGGCCCCCAGACGCCTCAAGAGGGCCCGCGAGGGGCCATCGTTTTTTCGTTCCCAGTGGTGTCTCAAGATGGCCTCACGTGGGCCCCAGCAGAGCACCAAGACGGGCCCAGGATGTGCCCAAGACGGCCTGAAGTGTCACCAAGAGTGCCCAAGAGAGGCCCCAGAGCGCCCGAAGAGGGCCCCAAAACCCGTCCCGAAAAGGCGTTCTGAGAGCATCTCGCGGTAGGCCACAAGGAATACCGGGGCGGCCGGTCCTTGCGGAAGAGGGGGGGCGCATGACGGGTGGGGTGGGGGATGGGCGCAGGCCCCACACCTCAAACGCCTTGAGCAGACATCAAGGCGGATGGTTCTCATAGTCACGCTTCGTGGCCCCATGAGGAGCTCCACCGGAGCCCTCAGGGGATGCGCTCACACGCGGTCCCCCAGCCCATTTCCCCATTTCGGCACACCCCTTACGCGTGTTGTTGCCACACAGATAGCTCCACCGAAGACCCCAGAGAGGGGAAGGGCGGTTCCCATGCGGTCCGCCGCCCATTTCGGCACACCCCTCACACGCTCCGTGGCCCCATCCCTTCTTCGATCCACCAGCCTTGCGGTGGGGAATCAGGGCACCGTAGCCAGTTTGGCTCAAGGTACAAGTTGGGTTGATGCGTTCACGCAAGCCTTTTTCCGCATAACCGGAGCGCTTGGGGGGCGTCAGTGAATCTTTCGCTGCCTGTGTTCCTCTCTGTGTTTATTTATTTCTTTCTTTCTTTCTCTCTCTCTCTCTCTATCTCTCGCTCTCTCTCTGTCTCTCTCTCTATGTCTGTCCGTTTGTCTCTCTCTCTCTTTCTCTCTCTTTCTCTCTGTTCTCTTCTCTGTTTTCTCTCTCTCTCTCTCTGTTCTCTCTCTCTTGCGCTCCTGGGGAGGACAAGAATTGGGTGGATACGGACAAGGGGCTGTGGAGGAGGAGGAGGAGGAGGAGGAGGAGGAGAGCGAGGACGAGAACGGAGAGGAGGACGACGACGGCGGCGGCGGCGGCGACGAGGACGACAACGACGACGACGAAGCGAAATGATACTGTCACGTTCGCGGCACCAAAAACGATGCGTACGGCTTGTCGAGTCAGTTCTGTTTCAAGACCATGTCATTGAGGCCTGAGGTCGCCCCTCGCTTAGTAATCCTAGACACCGGGTGGGACCAGGCCTTTCGCCGCGGTTGTTCAGATTATTTGCAGCGGATGGTTTGAGCACAAAATGGTTTCAACAGTAGTACACAAATTCACTACTCGGGCAATTTGGATGAGGAGGAGGAGGCGGAGGAGGAGGAGGGGGAAGAGAAGGATAGGCCCTCTCATCCTGATCCGAACTGTCTGGACATCTCCAGGGGCCTCCGTCCACCCAGACCATCTGCGACGCCCCCATTTAAGGCGCAAGCTGAGCAGATGGCGTCCCGAAATCGGCACGGCGCCGCCATGTGAACCCTGCCACTGGAGCCTTCGGTGGAGTTCCATGTGGGGCCACGAAACGTGCGAGGAGCGTCGCTGGATGAAAGCGGCGCCGCCATGCGAACCTTGCCACTAGGGCCTTGCCACTAGGGCCTTCCGTGGAGCTCCATGTGGGGCCACGAAGCGTGCGAGGGGCGTGGCTAAATGAAAGCGACGCCGCCATGCGAATCCTGCCCGTAGGGCCTTCGATGGAGCCCCCCCTCAGGTCACGAAGCGTGTGTGGGTGTGTTCCGACATCGGCGCGGCGCCGCCGTGCGGGCCGTGCCATTGGGGCCTTCGGTGGAGCTCATTGTTGGCCCACGAGACGTGTGAGGGGTACGTTGTAATTGATGTGGCGCCGCCTTATGCGGACTACGCCACTGCGGCCTTCGGTGGAGTTCCCTGTGGGCCCACGAAACGTGTGAGGAGTGCGCCGAAATTGACGTGCCGCCGCCATGCGGATTGTCCCACTGGGGCCTTCTGCGGAGCTTCTTGTGAGGCCACGAAACGTGTGATGAGTGTGCCGAAATTGATGCTGCGCCGCCATGCGGACTGTGCCACTGGGGACTTCGGTGGAGCTCCCTGTGGGGCCACGAAGCGTTTGAGGGTTGTGCCGACATGGACGCGGCGCCGCCACGCGGACTGTGCCACCAGGGCTTTCGGAGGAACGCCACGAAACGAGTGAGGGTTATGCCGACACGGGTGCGGCGCCGCCACCGTCGGTAGATTTCCCCCCATGGAGCAATGAAGCGTGTGAGAGGCGTGCCGAAATGCGGCACCGACGCCATGCGGACCTTGGCATTTGGGCTTTAGCTGGAGCCCTCTACGGGGCCACGAAGCGTGTGAGGGGCGTGTAGGAATAAGTCGCCGACACCATGCGGACACTGTCATTTGGGCCTTAGTTAGAGCTCCCTTTGGGGCCACGAACCGGGTGAGGTATGTGCCGAAATGCGGCACCGACGCCATGCGGACCCTGGCAATTGAGTTTTAGCTGCGGCTCCCTTTGGGGCCACGAAGCGTGTGAGGGGTATGCCGAAATGCAGCACCGACGCCATGCGGACCTTAGCATGTGGGCCTTAGCTGGAGCTCTCTATGGAGTCACGGAGCGTGTGAGGGGCGTGCCGAAAAGGCACCGACGCCGTGCGGACCCTGGCATTTGGCCCTTAGCTAGAGCTCCCTTTGGGGCCACAACGAAAGGTGTGGATGGCGTACCGAAATGAGGCATCGACGCCATGCGGACCCTGGCATTTGGGCCTTAGCTGGAGCTTCTCGTAGGGCCACGGAGCGTGTGAGGGTTGTGCCGAAGTGGACATGGGGAGGGCAGAGGCAGGGATGGGACGAGCAGGAATGGGGGAGGTGGAAGGAGGAAACACGGGGCGCGCTCTCTAGAGAACGAGGATCCAACACCGCAGGATAGTTGGGGAAAAAACGTTGTCCGGGGATCTAACATGTCCCGGGGTCCCCTGGAGCTCTGGGTGCTCCAAAACGTTGTCCAGGGGGCAGAAAGATTCTGTTGAGGGTTCTTGTCGGCTCTGGGTGGTCAAAAACGCTTTCCAGCGGACCGAAGGCTTCCAGGGAAGCGAAACATTGATTGTGAGGGTTCTTGGGAGCCCTGGGTGCTCAAGAACAGTGTCCAGGGGACCGAACACTTGATTTTGAGATCCACGGGATGTGCTCAAAAAATATGTTCCAGGGATCGAAACGTTGATTTTGAAGGTTCCACGGGAACTCTGAGTGTTCAAAAGCGTTATCCAAGGAAGCGAACAGTTCATTGATTTCGATGGTTCCCGGGGGGCTCTTTGGGTGCTCCAAAACGTTGTCCAGGGGATTATCGGGTTGATTTTGATGGTCCTTAGGAGCTTGATTTCGAGGGTCCCTGGGGCCTTTTTTTGGTGTTCAAAAAAAAAGTTGTCCAGGTATCGCAAGGCTGATTTTGATGGTTCCTGGGAGCTCTTGGCTGCTCCAAAACAGTTTCCAGGGGAGCGAAAGGTGATTTTGAGGGTCCCTGGGGAGTTTGGGATGCTCAGAGGCGTTTTCCAGGGGCGCGAAAATTGAGGGGCATTGTCCAGGGGATCGCAAAGTTGATTCAGGGTCCCTGGGAGCTTGGGGTGCTCAAAAACGGTGTCCAGGTAAGCGGACAGTTGGTTTTGAGGGTCCGGAGTTTTGAGTGTTCAGAATTCGCTTGGCGAAAGACCCAACCATATGCAGTTGTGCGTACCGCGGTGATCATCGTCTTCGGTGGGGCTCCCTACGGGCCACGAAGCGTGTGAGGGATGTGCCGAAATGGGCGTGGCGCCGCCATGCGGACTGTGCCACTAATTTGGGCCTTCGATGGAGCTCCTTTTGGGGCCACGAAACGTGTAATGGGTGTGCCGAACTGGGCGCGCCGCCGCCATGTGGGCTGTGCCACGAGGGCCTTCGGTGGAGCTCCGTATGGGGGCCACAGAACGTGCGAGGTGTGTGCCGAAATGGGTGCGCCGCCGCCGTAGCGGATTATGCCACGAGCTTTCGGTGGAGACCCTTATGGGGCCACGAAACGTGTGAGGGCTGTGAGGGTGTGCCGAAATGGGTGCGGCGCCGCCATGCGGACTGTGCCACTACGGCCTTCGGTGGAGCTTCTTCCCAGGGCCCACGAAACGTTTGAGGGTCATGCCGAAATTGGTGCGCCGCCGCCATGCGGACTTTGCCACTAGGTCATTCGATGGAGCTACAATGGGGCCACAAAGGATGTGAAGGGTGTGCCGAACTTGACGCGGCGCCGCCATGCGGACTTTGCCATTAGGGCCTTCTGTGGAGCTCCCCATGGGGTCAGGAAGCGTGTGGGGGGGGGCCGAAATGCGCATGCGCGGAGGGCAGAGGACAGGAGGGAGAGGAGGAGGAGGAGGAGGAGGAGGAGGAGGAGGAGGAGGAGGGAGTTGAGGAACGCGGGGCGCTGTCTCTTCAAAACGAGGACCCAACACCACAGGATAGTTGGAGAAAAAACATGTTCCAGGGAACCGAGAAATTCATATGATACCGGAGAAAAACCCAATCCGAATAATTCAAACATTTTTAGGGCCATGGGGCTATAAGGCTATGGGGCTACGGGGCGATGGGACTATAGGGCTATAGGGCTATAAGGCTATGGGGCTATAGGACTATAGGGTTACAGGGCTATAGGGCTACAGGGCTATAGGGCTATAGGGCTATAGGGCTATAGGGCTATAGGGCTATAGGGCTGTAGGGCTATAGGGCTATAGGGCTATAGAGCTATAGGGCTATAGGGCTGTTAGGCTATTTGGCTCTAGGGCTTTTGAGGCTATTGGGCAGTGGGGCTGTTAAGGCTATAGAGCTATAGGACTAATTATAGCGCTATTGAGGCTATAGGGCTGTAGGGCTATAAGGCTGTAGAGCGTCCAAGCACCCGGGGGCACCCGGGGGCACCTGGGGGCACCCTGTGGCACCCCCGGGCACCCCCGGGAACCCCCGGGAACCCCCGGGCACCCCCGGGCACCCGGGCACCCGGGCCCGGCCACCGAAATCGGGCACGCGGCACCCCCGGGCACCCCCGGGCACCCCCGGGCACCCCGGGGCACCCCCGGGCACCCGGCCGCCGGCCACCAAATCGGCGCCGCACCTCACCTAACCATATGAATCCGCTAGGACCCCTACAGAGGCAAGCTCTGATTGGGGAATCAAGGGTCCCCGGGAGCTCTGTCTGTTTGCCCAAAACGTTCTGTCCAGGGGACAGGTTGATTTTGATGGTCCCCGGGAGCTCCTGGTGCTCAAAACCGTTTTCCAAGGGATTGAACAATTGAGTTTGAGGGTTTCCAGGGGCTCTGCTTGTTCGAAAGGCTGTACCCGGGGACCGAGAGGCGCCAGACCGAGCGACACCACCTGGCGTGAAAAAAAGTTGCAGCGCCCAGATTTTGGGGCGCCGCCCGCGGCTCCGCCGCCGGCCGATGCGTTCCCCGCCAGCCGCGGCTCGAGCTGTGGCCGCCCCCTCCCGCCCGACCGCGCCGGCAGGCCCGCGCGCGAGATGGCGCTCACCGCAGCGCACGCGGAGGGCCGCGAGAGGTCGTCGGCGTCCAAGCGCCCCGCGCCAGGGGGCGACGCCACGGGCCAGGCTGCGAAGCAGAGGCCTCGCCGTGAATCGAATTGGCGGGGGCAGCACCGAACAGCGGCGGCGCCGCGGGCGGCGGCCCTGAGATCTGGGCCCCGGGTGCTGCATTTTTGCTTCCACGCCGGGCGGTTTCGCTCGGACTGGGGCCCCGGGACCATCACAGAACGATGCGGTTCGAAGAGTGCCGCAGAAAGACCGGGTCGTGATTTTTCGCGATGTTTCATGTTGTCGTGGCGTCGGATCTATTGGGCGGCGCCGACGGCTCCGACGGCGGCGAAACTTCTCGGAGGACTCCAACCATAACCGATCCTGGCTAGGCCCATCTTCGGCCTTGGATGGGCCTGGCCGGGATTGGTGCAGGTGTATAACTGGCGCTTTCCTAGTGAGTGCTGCCGAAAAAAAGAAGAAACTGCATAAGCATAGCATGACATTAGGTTTCGAAGGCCCGCCGTTCGGATATCTTGGATCAGCGGTGGGCTCCCGTGGTGGTCATGCGTATTTCAGCCTCTCCTCCTCCTTCGCCTCCGTCTCACCTCCCTTGTGCGCCGCCGCTGTAGCTTACCAGGGCCCTTGAGTCATCTGGCGCGCAGGCGACGGGCACGCCCTGGCCCCCGTTCAAAGAAAGAGAACGTGCTCTCTTAGAGCACGGGTCCCCCCTACTTGTACTTCGTGTCCTTTGTATTGCATGCAGTTAATCCCGTACACTCCACAGTGGCATCGGAGCGCGTGCTGTCGCTCGGATATCGCCGATATCTGGCTATGGAGGGAAATCTTTTTGCTGCGCAGCTAAAAACTGGTCAAAGCGCCTGAGCCAAACGAAAGCAAAAACGTGCTTGTTACAAAACATACTGCACACACAATTGATAATTCTCACCTCCGAAATGTACGCTGTACAGTTCTATGATCAAAACGCTGCTTAAATCAAACAGAGGATCGGCCGGTCGCTGACGGCTCGTCTGCTGAACGCTCGGGCCCAGGGTTCCTAAAGGTTTTGGTTGGCTTGGTAGATTGGCTCACAGGTCAGGGGACTGAACAAAGATTCGCTCGCGTAAAAACTCATACGTTTATTCAGGGAGGTAGGACGAGGAAGAGATGGGGATGGTTTTGCACGCCGCCCAACGGCAGCCATCATGTAACAGCCCAGCGGGGCTCGCAGCTAAAACCCCCACAAAACTCACACGTAAATCCGAGTGCACCCCGGGTTCGAAAGAAGAACAATGGAGCTCTCTGGGGTGCCCGTGGTCGGTGGAGCACACGCAACGAGTGCTCACACAGCCGCTGATGCCTGAGGCGGAGCACCGCACACTGAGTGCTCACACAGCCTCTGCCGTCGATGGAGCACCGCACAATCACGGAGTACTCACACGATCGTAGGGCTGTCCACAAGACGCGTCACCTTCGAATTTGTGGACGGGGTTGTGACGCCTCGGGCGTGGCGCAAAACCCCTCACGTACGTAGTCTGGTTCATCGTCATCGCATCCCTGACCTGGGTCCTGCCGTAACCCATTTCCTTATTGTGTTTGGGTTTGGTCGTGATCTCCATCAGCTGGTCGACTTGCTGCGTCTTGAGCTGCATGGCCGGCCTGGTCATCATCATATCCATCTGCTGGTCTGCATCCTGCGTCCCAGACTGCAAAGACAATCTCTTCCGTACAACAACATACACCAACATGCAGAACAAGTGTCAACGTATTTCAAAAAACCACACCCTGCAAGTAGTATATAACCAATTCACCGCATATCCTTCCCGACTGCCCGACTGCATGGTCAGGTCCTGGCTTGGTCGATCGTTGCTCGTCCGCTCCATCGGCCAGAGGTCGAAGCTGGCCCCTGGCATGGCCCTGGTGGCCAACGTCAGCACCTGGACGAGCCCCTTCGACTTTTGAGCTGGGGCCGAGAACCTGACGTCGCGGCCGGACATCAATTCCATCAGCATACCCGCGTGCATCACCTTGGTGAGGGCGTCCGCGACCATCGTGTGTGTCGGGACCTACCGCAAAATCGAAGTCGCAGGTGCAAGAGTTTCTCAGCATGCTGACCACGATCCTAAACCGTTTGTCCTGCGCGACCCCGGCGTCCTTCTCCACCGTCTCCTCTAAGTTCTTGCTGTCCGTGAAGGTCGTCATCTTGATGTTGTCGGCTTGCCGCTCCACGTCCTTCAGTCCTGGTGGGCCTCCTAGCTTCGCCGCCATCTTCAGCTCCGTCAGCACCTGGCGATACCATTCTGCGTACTCGGAGGCGCCGCTGATAGCATAGGCCTCTGCATTGAGGTTGCTTCGCACCACTCTCCGGACACGTCCTGAGCACCAAGTGAGCGGAGACAACTTGCTAATTTTCGTTTTGGCGACCTCCTCAGGCATGTGAGTCAAGCCCCCGACGATCCCGCGCTGCGACCGTTCGCCCTCGGCAATGGCGACGGCGGAGTCACCGTATAACACCAGCTGCGCCGTCGGGATGAGCCGAAATCCCAGCGTCGGACTCTGCTTGAGCTCGGTGACCAGCTGGTTGAGCTGGACGAGGTCCTGGACCTTGAGCTTGCTGATACGCTGGGCTGCCGAGTTATGCTTGCAAGCTGCGTCTGGACGAGACCTCGGAGCAACCCACTGCACTTGTTCACTCGTCGTCCTGAAGCTGCTGACCTCCTCGGGTGTCGCCTCCGACACAGGAATATATGCGGTTCGCGCGGATGGGGATGTACTCGATCACCCTGATCGCCTTCTCCTGGATCGCATTGATGAGTCCTGGCGTCATCCGTACCCGCGTACCAAGGTAGTCGACGTCGCCAACCTTCTCGGCAAGGTGCAGGCGCTTCTCGAGCTCTGGCATGATCTTGAGGACGCAGGTGCTGGACTGCGTCCAGGCAGAGAGCATGTCATCCACGTGGGAGTGGATGACCAGCCTCGCTCCAACTTGCTTTCGTGGATCTGATATCCATTGAGAACTGACTTCAAATACAAGCGCCGGGCTCTGCCAGCATCCGCCGCGCCGTTGACGCTGCCCGTCGCGAACCAGATCTGTCCTGGAAAGACCCGGAGGAGGGTGCTCCATCGACCGCCTTATCATCGGGGCTCGGTCGACGCCCCTTGCCTGTAGATAAGCACGCATCGAAGAAAGCGCCATGCCAACCGCGTCGCGCTGCAAACCCTGCCGCATGCCAGAATGCGTCGCGGCTCCCGGTCGGAGCGTCAGCACGAACGCCCAAATCGTTCCCCTGACACCCTTGCACCGCCAGCCTCGCCTTGAAGGCGTCCATATCCTTCTCGGTCAAATCCCACCCGGCGCCAACCACCCTCAGCCGTGGCTTCTCGCGCTTGAGCTGGGCAAGCTCCTCCCTGGAACAATGCCGCGCAGCATTGAACGCCGGCCACTTGTCCTATTCCGAAGCCATGGCCTTCCTCATATCAACCTGGTTGCCGCCCGCCAGGTTCCTGAAGGTCAGCCCCTTGCTCCTCGACTTGCCCGCGAGGTCCACGCGCCTGAACCTGGTCGGGCAGAGGGCGGAGCAGTCGAAGCCGACCGACTCCTTCAGAGAGAGAGAGAGAGAGAGAGAGAGAGAGAGAGAGAGAGCTCCATCATCAGGTGCTCGTCAACCCTGGGTTTCTTGGTGACTTGCCGGTCTTGAAGCGATCGCCGGATACATTGCGGCACGTCGTCGAGAGGATCGCATCTCGTGGTGCTCCTCCTCGCCTGGAGGTTCTGCCGAATGCTGGTAGGTAGATCATCGAGTGAGTCGTAGCGAGGTCGCCGCTGCTGACGACGCTCCTCCACGACGGGTGTCTGATGCTCCGGGGCGGGGGGCTGCTGTTCTGGTGGGTGCGGCGTCTCCTGCTCCTCGTCTGTGTCGAGGTCCTCGTCGAGGTCGGTTGCGCCCTGATGGGCCCGCGGAGTCTCGGGCCCCTGCTCGCACAGGTCTGGGTCGAAGGCGCCCGGGACCTGATTCGAGTGCGCCCGTTGGCACTGCTCCTGGTCGGACATCGGCTGCTCGCAAGGCGTCTCGGGCTCCGCCGAGACCGGGTAGGGATCTTGATGCTGTGGCTGTGCTGGCGGCATCTCCACTGGGATCTCGAATTCAGGTTCGGGGGCAAGCCGTTGTCGCTTCGCCTCTGGGTCGGCCGACTGATCAGGGCCCGAAGCGTCGAAATCGGGCGGGGGCCCTGGAGTCTTCCTCGGCCGTGCCCTCGCGGCGGTAGCCAAACTGTCCAGGACGACTCCCAGTCTGACGCCGCCCTGCAGTAGGGTGAGTATGGGTAGGGCCTGGGATCTCCTCGTCGTCGGCGGCCATGTCGTAGTATTATCGGTCCCTGGGGGGTCCTCCACGTAGGGCGCGCCCCCTTGAAACTCGTGCTCGCCATCATGAGCCAAAACGTTGAAAATCTCCTTCCAGGGCGCGCGCTCTTCTGGAAGCGCAGGCCGCAGGTGCTTCGGGGAGCACTTGAGGGCGGCATTCCGATGCGCGAATTCCAGAAGTTGCCCCCCTCGTAACCGATGACAACTCCGGGGCCATGCCACTTGACATTCCACATCTTCTTGGCCTGGTTCAGGCCACGCCAGTAAACGACTTGGTCGCCGATGCCGAAGTTGAGGCTCGACGGCCGAGCAGCCTGTCCGCGACTCTCGGCCAGGAAGGCTGCTGAAGGACGACAGTCGTGCTCGACTGCCTGGGCTGCGCGCTGAGCTGCAGCGAGCATGCTCACGCGCCGCTGGAACGTCTGGTCGCCCCTGGCGCGCTGGTGGAGCGAGAGCCTCGCGTGGTTGGAGAGTATTCTGTAGGGCAATCGGCACCCACGTCCGAGCGCCCACTGCGCAGGGCTGTACCCTGACGGCCCCACCTTGCTGTTCTTCGCCCAGTTAACCACGTTGCAGAGGCACTCCACAGCGCCTCTGACGGTGATATCGATTTGGTACTCGTCGATGATGGCCTTCGCAATGTACTTCCATTCGCCGCCGCGCCGCTCGCAGACACAATTCTGCGCGGGGCTCAGGTCGGCAGTGGCGATGAGCTCGGTGCCCATGCCCTCGAGCTCGCTGCGGAACTCCCTCTCGAACCCACCTCCGAGGTCTGCAATGCTCGCCTGGGGCGGCCCAGCCCAGCTCATCCACCTCGTAAGTAGGGCCGTCCATGACGTGTAGGCTTCTTGTCGTCCTGCGGGGCCACTAGCTGGAAGGTAGTGGCCATGTCGACTTTGTTTTGGAGCTGAGCCTGGTTGCCCTTGATGTCGGCGAGGGGCAGGTCGGTAGCCGCTCCATCGCCAAAGTCGCGGAACTTGGACCTCAGGTCCGCCGGCGTGGAGATGTCTGGAGGCTTCCGCCATTCACAATCAGGACAGCGGTGCGCTTCCGCTGCAGCGATCGCCTCGGCCGAGCCCCCCTGCCCCCGAATGGCAGTGGCAAGGCTAGAGTCGGTCGGATGGCCGGCGCTGGTGTGCGCCAGCTTGACCGCTCGCTCGAGCTGCGCCCGCTCCGCCGGGTCCATCGCGTCGAGTTTCGCCTTGGCGCGGGCAGTGATCTCCCTGTCGTGGGCCACCGGCAGGACATCGCAGCCGCGTCGAACGGCTCGCAGACCCGAGGCGGTGTCTTTCACGAGCGAAACGGCGTAGCGGCCGGTCTGGTTGAGGTCCTTCCCGCCAAACACCATGGCGTGGACATGCGTCCCATCGTTTTTCTTGTAGAGCTTCTCGACGATGGGCTGGTGGTTGGTCGGGACCTTGAATCTCTTCCGAATAGGCTCGCACTTCCTGGTCTTGATGCCGCGCCGACAACCGTCAAACACAGTTCGCAGTCCAATAATCTCCTGAATATGAAAGAGTTCCTTCGGCTTATACATATCATTGCATATGTCGCTCACGAAGGGTAGCTCGAATCCCGTCGGCATGGCATGAGGCCGTAACTCTCGCAAAAGCCAAAGTATACTACGCAGAATATTATCGTTCTCCTGTCGGGCCATCTTCAATCGAATTCACTGGGCCAGCGCCCTGGAATTCCAGAGCCGCTGGTAAGTGCACCACGGAGCGCACGGGATACTGATCCAAACCACTGGTATCTCACCGAGCTTCTGCTCAGACATGATCTTCACGAGTATGCCTTCGACGCTTTTCTTCCTGCGCAGATCGCACTCTGGGAGATGTGCCCGTAAGGCTCGATCATGCCCCCAGCAGCATTGAGTTCTCTCCCTAGCAAAGTATTGGGCTCGCGCGCCAGCTCGAACAGGGTATAGCTCCATGGGCGCCCTCGTCTAATAGCTGCAACTGCCTGCCCATGTGCTTGGTCTGCTTGCTCCAGCTGGATCAGCTGCTTCACCTTGTTCGTGCTCACGTTGTGGTCATGCAGCGTCTTGGCCTTGGTGATCCCGGCAAGGTTCTGCTCCTGCTGACCCCGCGTTATGAACCGCCAGCTGGCGTTCTGGACGAGGTTCGCGTAGTTCCCCTCAGCGAGGCCAACCATGTCCACGTCATACTTGCAGCCAGGGCACAGACCCTGCCGCTCACAGCCCACACACGTACCGATGCCACATGAGCAAGTGAAAGTAGCTGGGTTCGCACAGATATTGCAATCATGGCCTCCAGGAGGCCTGTCATGAAACGTTACTTTCTTTAGGTTCTGGGTCTGGCTGACACTGGCGACCTCCTTGACTGCTTCCGCGGCCGGGCCGAGCCCTTGGCCATTGGTCGAGGCGGCCGCCTGAGCTCCACGCACGAGTGCCATGATCCTCGACGCCGTCTTGCCACCTGCCGTCCTCGGTCGGAGCCTCCTGGGCAACTCGTCGGTAACATTCTTGTCCCTAGAGTGGCTGCGCAGCACGTGGTAGGCTTCGGGGTTCAAGTCCAGCACGCAGTGTCCAGTAGACCGATCCTGTGACAACTCAGCCTTATGAGGCCCGATCGTGATTCGTCTCGGTGATGTCCTGATCTCGGCGCGCACGGACTCCAGGCAGTCACGCCCCAAAAGGAGGTTGAGCCCCGGAATCCCCAGCAGGCAACTACGCCTGGATGAAGTGCGGTACCTTCGCTGCCGCCACCAGGGACCTCACCTGAGTATCTGAATCATTCGCACTGCCATCTCCGAATTTGAAGGTCTCGTGCGCGGACTTGAAGGTCGCGAGCTTGTCGACGCCTAGTGACTTCAGGTGCGCGCAGTAGTCGTTCCACCACAGAGTGCCCATCGCGCTCCAGGCGCATGCCGAATCGACTGCGCCCTTCTTGTGCATCGGGGACGGGCCCGCGACCACCGCGTTCTGAAGCACGGCAAGGAAGTCATCTCTACTGCCGACATCTCCATCTCATCGTCGTCGTGGTCAACTCCAGCCGTCACCTCTTGAACTTCTCGCGCTCCTGGACACTCCGGGTCGCCAGCCCAGTTGCCCCGACCATCGCGCGCACACGGCGCTGAGAGCTCTTCTTGCGCTTGTCGAGGGTATCCCTTGATCGGCGGAAACTTGCCTCCTCGCCCTGGCTTCCTGCCCGCAGTAGATCTGCCCCGGCCGCGCCCAGACCGTCGTGGAGGGGCACCCGCAGCACCGCTGGAGCTTGAGGAGCCGCCCTGACTGAGGCTGTCTCGGGCTTGCCGCGAAGTAGCAAGCGCCTCGGGCAACTCCGTGAGCTGGGCCGCCGCCTTCTCGACCGCTTCGGCCTGGTCGTGGTCCAGCTCCTCCTCGTTGATGTCGCCGAGGTCGGTGGCCAACGCCTCCAGCTCGCGCTGCGCGAGCTCCTCGATGCAGTCGTCGTCGGCCTCGTCCTCCTCGAGGCCCTCGTCATCTTCGTACTCCGTCACGTTGACTGCCTTAGGTGGTGGCCGCCCCTTGCCACCTTGTCGGGGCTTCTTCTGCTCGAAGGGTCGCCGCTGCCGTGGGTGACCGCGCTCATTGATATGATTATCCTGATAGATCCGCATCGCCGTCGTCTGCGCTTCTCGCAACTGGAATGTCTCGCGCGGCAACGCTGCCATGAGTCTACCGCGATGCGCTCTCGTAATATTTAGCCGCCGCACAAAGAACCAACCAAGAATATCAGCATCGTCCGCGAGCTCCACGCCATCCTCGGAAAGCTTCGTCACACCTTCGTCGAATATCGTGATGTATTCTGAAAGCCTGGTTCCAGCCCTACGCGCATTCTCCTGGGCCTCGAAGAAATCCGTCATGGTCTCACCTTTCCTGCGCACCTTGGCTCGCACTTGTTGTTGTCCTCGATGCGGCTGCAGGTCTGCGTTGCTGAGCGCCAGGGCCTTCCGTCTTGCAGCTCCTCGGAGCTTCTTGATCGTCCTCGCCGCGATGCTGTATTGAACGTCCATATTCAAACCCAGCGTCCATATGCGAACTTATTCCTTGTGCGTCATCCACGAAGAGTGGCTGCCATCCCAGCCTGGAATGCAGCTGTCCTCTCGCTCTAGATTAGGGCCCGTCTGCGCCGATCGCCCGGCGCTGAGAAACCGCGCGCAAGATAGGACAAGGACGAGCATGTAGTAGACGAACAGGGTGATGGGGGGATCCTGTGCCGCAGGCGGCCGCGCTGCAGCCAAGGCCAAGAGGCCGCCGGCGCAGCCGCCGCAGTATGAACCGCTCCGCTGCCATTGTCGCTCGGATATTGCGGATGTATGGATATGGAAGGAAATCATGTTGCTGCGTAGTTTAAAATTGGTCAGAGCGCCCGAGCCAAACGATAGCAGAAACGCACTTGCTACAAAACATGCTGCACACACAATTGATCACCCACGCGCGCTTCCAATCCAGGAGGGGAGTCAGGCTGACTCCGCCGCCCGACTCTCTGGTCACATCTTCCGTATTATTCCCCCGTTCTTCCAGCTTCCCACCCTCCTGCGCCGAGCGCCGCCATGGGCGGCCCGGACGACGCTCGGCCTCCCGAAAACGAACTCCCGGATGATCCTCGGGCACAACCAGGATAGGATTTTTGGGCAGGGGAGGGGGCGGAGGACGAGAAGACGCTTCCTGGGGCGGTGATGACGAAGTGGGCTGGCCAGATGAAGATTGGGCCCGCTGTTTCTCACAGCCCAGGACGGATTCACAGCCCGATATGCTGTCATCCTCATCAAGTTGGAACGCGCGGGGCCGTGCTTCGCCGGCTGCGCCAGCTCGGTTGAACGCGCCTCTGCGGGGACAGGCTACGCCGTTCACTCCGATTTATTGGGGAGACGCTACTACCAGATCTTCTGATCATCAGAATGGTTACCTGAACAGCCGGAGGCCCCAAATATACCACATGATTTACCTCCCACAGGGGAGTGAGAAGATCCTGATGTCCGAGTCGACCCTTACATGAAGGAGCTGCAGGCGTGGCTCACGTTTGCCAGAACCTTGACGAGACCTCATCTGCCGCTACGCCAGAGACGATTTCAATATTATCATCTACGAAGTCACCGCATATCAGTTGGCCTCGGAAGACAGTGGACAGGTTGTGGCCAGACATATCAAGAAGGCTTTCGCCGAAAACCAAGACCGCAGGATGCCGCGGGCATGTGAGAAGCTCTTCTATTCTGACGACACCAAGCGCAAGAGGTATGAGTCTCTTGTCAATTATATTGCCCGCGAGCGAGTGCTCTTCCGAGAACTTGAGAAGCGCGTGGCCTTCCCCGAGGAGTTGAAAGGAGACGTGCCTCTTAGAGAATCCAAGCTCCGTGAAGCCGCGTGGGATACGGTTGAGCACTGGACTGAGGGAGCATGCGATTTTGACGTGGTGCGCGAGAAGCACCGTAAGCTTGAACGACCATTACTTTCAGGCAAAGGTGGCCATCGCATTCATGGAATGAGTTCCCCCTCGCACTTCGTCGGATACCAAAGAGATGGAGACGCATATGATGACCTGCAGTCTGACCATGAGAACATGCAATGGGCTATCATAGAACCGACTTTGTTTACCTTGCCAGAGTCCTCCAAGGAAGACGACGTAGAAAGAACATGGACGCCGCGGAAGAATGGGGCTCTCAGGTACATGAACGACGAAGACGCATTTTTCGTAGCTGGATGCATGCCCGAGGATGTGATCTTCGACGAAGACGAGGCTGTCGCCATCTACGCCAACTACAGTCAGGCCCGACATTGCATGCACAAGCGGAATCTCGGACGAGGCTTCCTCAAATAGTCTTTCCGAATCGCAAGTCCAATGGCTCCTGCAAGGGTAAGCGTCGAGGGAAACGGACTGGGCGTGCTCGACCGATGCGCCGGGCCAAAAGTAAACGGATAATCCGTTCGAAGCGCGCCCGGGGCGGGAAGATGGGGCGCTGGGCTCTGGAGCGCCCGAGCGAGCTAGACGAGCGAGGGCGCAAATGGCCAGCTGGCATCGGCGGTTTCCAGGCTGCCCCTCTCGAAGCAGATGGCGCTCTGCACGACGCTTGTCAACGTGGGCACGCGACGCAGTCTGGAGTTAGTTATTTTGCCTTCATTGTCTTCGCTATTGCCGACGCTGGCGAACAGACTTTCATCGGACTTCAGGTCCAGGCGGTGTTCGGCTTGGTGAATGCTGGAATCAGCATGGAGTCTGCGGCGAGGATCAGTATGAGAAAACAGTGAAATACCTTCGAGATACCTATGGTTTGAAGCCAGTGCAGATGCCGACTCCTGAGTGGACGCCACGGGCGCCGGCGGATCTACATATTGCGGTGCTCTAGCGAGGCGTCTGGTTGCCTGCGACGTGCCCCGGCTGTTCCCAGTGGAGACGATCGGGCAGCTCGGGGGGGTTCTTGGCTTGCCAGGGGGCGTCATCGCGCGGAAGGCATGCGACGGCAGTCGGCCGAGGGTGCACGAGGCAGGGGCAAGCAGACACAGCAATCAAAATGTGCGATTTCCCCGATGATGGTTGGCAGAGAAAGACGACAATCATAACGGTCTCTCCGAAGAGTCAGGGGCGCTGCCAGGTCGCCGAGCACGAGGATGCCGCATTCTACGCGAATCCGCAGGCACCCCGGGCTCATGCCAGTCTTTCTTAGCCAACTGCCTCGTCGCCCGACGAATCGCGCGACGCGGGGCCGCGCGGAGCGCGCCATCGCCAAGAAGGGGCCGCAGCCGGAACCTCGGCGCCGGAAGGTCCAGCCAGCTTTCGATGACTCCAGAGAAGCGGACGCGGAAATGGTGCCATTTGTGCCCGAAGTTGCTCGCCATCCTTGACCGCGCGGCCACGAAGCGCCGCGCGCGCGGAGGCGGAGGCGCGCATCGGTGCGAACGCCTGCGAGAACCTTTCTCGGGGGCGCCAAGAGTCTGGGCAACGAGGCTGCGCCATCCACGCCTCAGACATGCGACCAAAGACCTTCCTCTCGAACTTTGAAGGCCCTCAGCGGGGAGTGGTTCGCGGTGGGCAAGGGGCCGGGGCCAGACGGCGCGGGCGCCAAGAAGACCGAGCAAGCCATGTGCGCGCGCCCCGACAAGTCCACGCGCCACCGGGGCGACGCCAGGACCCGCTGGTGGACGCGCGACGATTGCCAGATGCGCTGGACGAGGCACCTTTTCGAGGGCATCATCAGCATTGGCGCGCCATGGCACCGGGAACGGGCGACGTTGGGGATGCGCGCGGGCGACGTTTTCAAGGAGCTCTACGAGATGGACTTCCAGCGCTGCGAGCGGCGCATGAAGACGGGCGAGTCAGGCGAGCCAGCGACGTTTCAGGGACTCAGACGCCCAGCGACGGGCGCGGCCGAACGCGAGATACAAGAGGACATCGTGGAAACGGGGGCGGTTTCGAGACGATGGTGGAGGAGAACGACGCGCGAGGGGTTCGCGGGCAGAAGATGCCTACAATGGTCGCAGGGCGCATGTTCGAGCGCCCCGCGAGCCCCGCGACAGGCTGTCCACCCCTGCCGACGCCGTCGGCTCACCTTCTGCAGACGACTTGACCAACGAGCGGATGACAGAGGTTGTCTACTCAGATGGTAATGCCCAAGTCATTCAGGATGCTTGGTCTGACGTTTCCCGCGGCCGCGCCCTGGCCCAGGGGTCGACTGGCCGCGCCTTCTTTTGCCGCGAGGCTGCTACCGCCGCGATGTTCGCTGGCGCCTTGCTGGCGAGCATTTGTCCTCAGGGCACCTGCCTGTCTCAGTCAGGTTCGACAGCTTATCCTTCCAGGCGCTATCAAAGTGAGCCTGGCTGGCCCAGCATTTGACATGCGCGCGGCCGTGCGTAGAGGTGCCCCAGGTGGACCTCTGCAGCCCGCTACTTCGCAGGGCTCGGTTGAGGCGGCCGAGGCCCGCGAGAGGCAATGGCGACTGATTTCGTAGGGGGCCACCAGTGGAGCATATACTTCATCCATGGAGCTCGACGAGGACGGCAATGGCACGATTCCTCATCAGCAGGCAAAGCAGATCAAGCAGGCATTTTCAGTGAACAATGCCAGTCTCAGTCTTCCTTTGGAAGCAGCTCATGAAAATGGGCCTGGAGAAATTTCCGTAGATGACCCCGGCGCTGAATCTGACAGCGATGATGAAGTGCCCGTTCAGCCCGACTAGACGCCGACAACGGACCAGCTAACCGGTCTCAAGCTTGCTCGCGACAGTGCTGATCATCCTGGAAATCGAGATGTTGCACGACTTCTGGGACGGGGCAACGCTGAGCCTGAAGTAGCACACTGGGCACTGACAACTTCAGGTGCGCTGAGTGCGACGCGCGCGTGCGACCCTATGCTCGCCGCCTGGCTGCTGTCCCCGGGTCTTATCGATTCAATCAGGATGTTGGCGCTGATTCGGTTGAGGCCAAGTGTCCTTTTGATGCACCGCATAATTGGATCAGCAGGGCGCGCCCTTTCAGTTGGTTGGACATGTGGGGTGGCAGGGAAGTCAGCATATGTAGAATGGCAAGATTGTTACACATAGGCACGTGTTGTTTGGCATGCCAGAAGTTGTTGCTGCACATCCTGGACCGGAGTTTCAGGGATGCTCGCCGATAACATGCAAACCAACGGCGCGTTCTTATTTCGAACGGACGCTCGTGCTCCATGGCAAAACGGTCGCGCAGAACGCGCTGGAAATAATTGGATTAACAGCTCTGTTTAACCGTGCACAAAAAAGCTCGGGATAGTCTGGCTGAGTGGTATGCTATGGAGGGATTGTTGCTTTGTCCGAATCCGTTACCAGACTCGAAATGGGTTTTCACCGATGCAATGGGTTCCGTTTTCCAGCGACATGGCTCTCCGATGATCCCA